AATAGATATCCAAATTTAGTAGATTTAGAAACTAGCAATAATATTGTTAGTAATAAAGAAACATATTTATTTATTCCTGAGGATATTAATTTGTTTGTTTCTTAGTATGAGAAAGTATTGTAAAAAATAATAGATGATTATCGTATTTAATCAAATAATTTTTCTTCAGGTAGTTAATATAAAGGTATGAAAAGTGAATATTAAGAAAGTGAGAGTTTTAGTGCTTAACAAAGTGTTTCTATATACAATGAAAAATTATGTTGTTTCTTTTTTGATTAACATTTAAAAAGTCATCAAGCTTTATAATTTGGTACCACTAGATAATCAGAAATGTAAAAGGCTTCAGTAAAACCATCCTCATAATCATAAGTATCATTATAAAGTGAAGATAATAGTGAATAACTTAAAACTAAAGCTGAAAAAATTTATTAAGATAAATATACTAAATATATTGAAAAAATATCACTTTAAGATTTCAATCCAGTTCCTGTTTTTTATTCAGTTAATTATGAAGAATATAGATATAAAAAGAATGATATTGAATAAAAATAACAATTTTTTGTAATTGAATTAATTGTTAATGAATAATAATTATTAAATACTATGGGTTATAAGAGATAAGTTAGAGAAACTATTAAATAAGCTTGTTTAAATTTTTAATCTAAAAAACTCTTGATTGAATAATAAATATAAACTGAAGATTCTAATAGTGTTTAAGGTAATATCAGTGAATAAAGAAGTGATCATGATGGAGAAGTAATTAATTACATGTTTCCCACTCATCCATCTCATTATTATGAAGATTTATATATTCATTCTCCTTAAAAGGATTAAGTTTCAAATCAATTTAATTAAAATGATAATAAATATTTATTTAGTAGTCGTAGTGATGAAAATGAATAATAAAATAAATAAAGTGTAAATACATAAGAGTCACTTATGAAAGGATCTTTGAAATTGAAATTTCCAGAAAGAAATCTTGCTTTAAAAACAATGAACAAATTTATGGATAAGAAGAGATAATAAGATTTTTTTAATGAGACTGATTCTAAATTGGCCATTGATAGTAGAGCATCATAATAATAAATTTATGAAGAACATTAAGTCAAATATTCTGAAAATCTTAAAATATTTGATTAGAATTATAAATCAATACATTCTAAAATGGAAGAATTTAAAAATCCTACTTCATTTAAAATTTAAAAATATCTATTATATTTTGTACTTTTTTTGATAATTGGATACATTATTTTATTAACAATAGCAGTATTTTAATAATACAATTTTAATGAATGTTTTAATTTAATTGAATTAATGTTATCTACTTAATAAAGTTATTCATAAATTACTCATGGCCTTTATCATTTAGAATTAGCAAATTAATTTAATATCATAGATACTAATTTAAAGGAATTCTATTCTATATAAATTGATCATAATCTTTAAAACTTAATCAATTTATAAAGTGAATAATTGATATATATTAATTAAGTTAACTTTAGTGTCAATTAATTTTATAATATTGAATACTAATTGATTCTTAATCCTACTTTATAAGAGACTATTTAAATGAGTTTAGCTTAATTTTATAAAATAAAAAACAATACATTAAATAATTCATAAGTTACATTAATTTCTATTGCTAATTTAAAGGAAATAGGATAATTACCTAAATTAGCATATGATAATTGTTATGATGAAAAAGTATAAAATGAAGAACAAGTATAATCTTTATTAACAATTTATATGTTAATTATTTTCTTTTTAGTTATGTTACTATAATTTTTGTAAGTACCTTTAATATCAAAATTAAAGAATGATCATAGAAGATTATACAAAATTGTGATTAAATTATAAGTTTATGAAGTGCAAGATGAAATTGAAACATATGAACATATTCTTTCAATATTTAAAAAGTCATTGTATGAATGGATGTTAATTGATTTTGTATAAGAAACTCGAATGTTCTAGAATAGTATTGATAATATGTAATTTTAAACATAATAATTAACTGAATAAAGTTAGAATCTCTTGCTTAATAGTAATAATAAAAAAAATAAGTATAAATTATTAGAGAAATTGAAAAAATAACACATAAATTAGTTTAAATACATTATAATATTGATGATTGGATTAATAGTGATACTTGCTTATTTTTTAATTATTTTCTTTGTAATTTTTATACTATCTTAATAATTATTTGCAAATGCAAACTTTCTATTCAACTTTAAATTAATCCAATCCTCTTTTATTAATATCATCAATAATATTGATTTAGTATGCTATAATACATATGATTAAAATAGTTTTATGAATATAATGAATTAAGAGGAATTTAATAATTATGCATTATCATTAAAAAGTGATTAGTAAGATTAATATATAGAATTCAATAATAACTTCGCTTCTATTGTGAGTGATGAATAATTAAAATACAATTTATAATAAATAAATGAGAATAATATATGTTTAGATTAGATTGGAATTACTTGTAATGAAACTTAAGCTTATTAACTCAATCCCAATATATTCTAATATTATTAACATGGTATGAAGTATTTAATTACTTAAATTGATAAATTAATTTAATCCTAACCACATTTCTTCTATAATAGTAATAATAATAATAATAATAATACTTTTAAATAAGTATAAGACTTTTTATTGAGTAATGATCATATCATATATATTGATTATGGAAGTGAAGTCTTAACTAAAGCATATGCAAAATTAGTAGAAACTGCATATTAAGCATTTGATTAAGCATTAAAAACCTATAAATAAACTTTAATGATATTCATTTTAAGTGTAGGAATGCTTGGATTGCTAATTATTTTGATGTTGGGTAAATTATTGCTGAATATGCAATAAGATTCAATTCGTACTTGCTAATCGTCACTTCTTCTCATTTCTCCTAAAAGATATTTGAATCAAAATATAGCATAGTTAACATAGAAAAAAAGATGAATGATTATATTAATCTTTTTTAACCAGTTATAAAATAATAGTATTTATTATATAAAACCTATATTCCTAAAGAAATTCAATTTCACAATCTAACATATAGTGATATTATTAATTGATTGTAAAATTATTTTAATTAATGAACCCAACTTTCAAATAATCTCAACAATTAGAAAATAACAGTAATATTATGGGAAGTAGTGCTGGATTTAATAGAAAGATTAAATTAACTTCTTAGAGACCTGGAAGTAGAGACTAAAAATTAAAAACAGGAGAAATGTATTTGAAAATATATTTAACTAAATAGATTTCCATAATTTTAAGATCCATTAGCTACAAATCCATTTAATTTGTTAAGTATTAACCTCTATTAGGATGAAAATACATTTATTACAACTTTGAAAGCAGAACTTCAATAAATACAAGAAGAAATCAATAAATTAGATATTGATGGACGTGTACTAATAAACAATTCATCTTTAGATTCGAAATAATGACCCAAGACAAGAATATAGATTACAATAGGTTAAAAAATGGGTTGCTCAATATTCATCCTCTAAATTCACACTTGAAAAATTAAATAATATTGATATTTCATAACTCCTCACTGTATTAGATGTTAGAACTTTAGAGTAATGATTTTAATGCTATTTAAGGGAAGCTGTTATCAAACTCTATAAATTCATATCTATTATGGATAATTTAATAATGAAAATTACAGAATATGAGGCTGTTCATTTAATCAAATTTGATGAATTATTTACTTCATTATGTCCTAATCATTAGGAAAATTTGCAATCAATATCTGTTTTAAAATTTCCAGTTTCTATTGCTAACTTAAATCGCATGACTGAATTATATTAAGTTAAATAAGATAGAAATTAACCATAAAAGATAATAAATGATAATAGCAATAATTAAATGTTCCTTAAATAAATTAAGTAAAAAGATGACTAAATAATTGAATTAAATACAACAATAAAATAATTATAATTATAATTGTAAGTAAGTATGAAGGGAAATAATAATAATAATAATAATAACAATAATAATAATAATTAATATTCTATAGAATAAATTTTATAAATAAAAAATGAATATGAAATCAAATTACAGAAATAAAGCGAGATTTTAACTTAAAAAAATGATAAAGAAATAGAAAATTTATAATCATAAATTGAATAATTTTAGAAATAATTAATATAATTAAAGAATTATTATGAAAAATAAATATCTGATTTGATATAATAAAATTAATAAGAATAATTAAACACAAAATCTTAGTATGAAAATAAATTATAATAATTATAATCATCATCATTATCATCATCATAAATTTAGACATAAACATAAATTAATACATAAATATAATCAAATAATATTGCAAAAGATCATAATTATTATCAAAAAATTTTAGATAAAGCTTAATAAGAATAAAATGAAAGATATCAAAATTTAGAAAATGTAATCTTATTTATACAATATAGGATCTAATCAAATTAAGAAATTAATTGTTAGAGAAATAAACTATGATTGATGGTTTATAAAGAGAAGTTTAATAATGGAAAGAAACAACTGATAGATTAAATAAAGTTAAAGTATTTTCAATAAATATAATTAGGATGAAATTTATCAACAATTTTAAAAGAGATATACAACTGAAGAATAATTTTCAAATTCTTATGAAGCAGCATTAAAATTAGAATTTGAAACAATGAAAAAAGCTTTTGAATAAAAAATACAAAAATATTAATAAGATTTAGATTAATAAAGAAGAGAATCAGGAAAATAATTAAATGAAATACGAATGTAGTTAGAAAGAGAATAAGAAACTAAAAAATTATTATTGAATAAACTTAGTTTATATAGTTGAAATTCATATATAAAAATAAAAATAATTAAAAAGTCTAAATTAAATAACATATAAAAGTAAATTCAATTTTATGAAGGAATTATATAAATTAATATCTCAAAAGAAATATAATTATAATTATTATTCCTATAATTTTGTGCTATTTATAATAAATTTAAATGATCTCATATCTTTAATAAGGAATCCAAATAAACTTTTAAAGCTTAACCTGCAAGTTTAGAATCAGGAATTTTTTAGGTTGTACCATATAATGTTCCCATTTCTCCACCCTTTTTATACTCTTATGGATTTGCTTTAATCTTTAAAATAAGATTCTTATTACTTTTTCAATAGCAGCCTTTATATCATGTACATATTATTTAAGATTTGATACATTTTATAAAGTTAGACTAATATGAACACCAGCTGGTTTTTATACACTACTAATAGTCCAACCTTAATGAGTTAAGATTTCATGAATGGCATAAACATTTAACCATTATTCTTTGCTCATAAAAGTAACACAATTAATTTAAGGATTTCCACAAACCTTAAGTTCTGGTATTTCTGATATTTATTTCGCCAAAGATTATGTGGCATCCATAATTTTCTTACTGTATTCAATATACTTTTTCTTACCAATAGATTACATAGTGAACCATGCACCAGCAACACCAACTCCACATTTAGATCCCTATATGCTTGGAACAGCATAGGCTCCACCTGACCAAGTTGCAATAGAAAAGAAAGCATGCTCACGTAATTATTTAGTTTTAAATAGGACAGTTGAAACTCCTTTAGGTGCTAAACCATGCTTATGTTAATCACATGAGATAGATGTGACTCCATCCAAAGTAAAATCAAATTTTCCTAAATCTACATTATGATCCTTTGCAAATATAGCAGTGAATCCACCTAGACATGCATCTATATGTAATCCAATTTTCTTTTTTTTTGCTATGGATGCTAATAATTCAATAGGATCTTATATTCCATAGGCAAAATTAGGAAAAGATCCAACAATGCAAACAGTATTAGAATCAATTTGTCTTTTTAAATCATTAACATCTACTTAAAAGGTTGTTTAATCAACTTTTGCTATTCTTACTTATATCTTAAAATATTCTCCTGCTCTATAAAATGCTGCATGTGCTGTTTCAGGTATGACTCTAAAATATATTAAATATTAACATATTTGGTTGATTTATTCCTTTTTATGATTCTCCCCAATTTCTATATGCTAACATGGCTAAAAGGATTGATTCTGTTCCTCCAGTTGTAATAATGCCTATGCCTTCTTTTTCTTATCCAAATAGATCTCCAGTCATTCTAATAACTTCTGCTTCCATTTGCCTTGTTGCTGGCCACAAATCAGCATGCATTGGATTTGAATATAAGAAATGCTTACAAAAATCTTGTGCATTTTTTATAAATTATTTATCTGGCATTACATATAATGATCCAGAAACTTTACCACTTCCATAATGTTTACTATCTCTTTCTATCCAATCATTTAATTTTTCCATCATAGATTCAGTATCAATTCCATTTTCAGGAAGCTTTAATATTTTTTTTGATGTCATTCTCTCCATTGAATCACTAAAAGATTATAATGCATTTGCTTTTTGTTTTTCAATATATGAATTGACTCCAGGACAATAGTTTACAAATAATAAAAATATTTAAGCTTTAAGGTATCCAAATAAACCTATATATATAAGAGATATCCATACTTTAATTATATTCTTTGTTTGGAAATTTGAGATTTCTTAGTACCCATAATCCACAAACACTTAGAATTGATACTACTACTACAGTATCAAAAATATCTAAAGAGTTTGTATATTTTTGTAAGGGTGTGTGTTTAAAAATCTCTTTAATAAATTCTTTAAAGAGGTTGTATTCTTGAATAACTATAGGTAATAATTATTCCATTATTAAAATAAATCATTATATTTAAGTTGAGTATTTTCTATCTTTCCTGGAAATAAATTAGGTGTCTCCATCCTTTTTTTGATTCAATATTGGTGAAAATTGTATATATGGATTAGAATTTGTGTTAGAACTCTATGTAGTTTCCTTAAATAAATCACAAGGTTTCTACGACTTTATTGTTTTAAAAGAATTCACTGAAACAAAGTCTGATATCGAGTTCTCCACTAAAATGAATAAGGTAACTTACTTTCAACAAATTAAATCAGGAATTACTATAATTAATCAATATCTTTAGATTTCTCAAATGATGTTATCGCATTCATAAATCTGCCATTTTCTTTTGTGATTAAATAATCTTTTAGTCTCACATTATAAGTACCTTTTAGTATGCCCTTTTAATCAAGAGAGATTGTATTATTCTAATAGAGAGTATAGATTAAGTATAAAATTCTTGCCTCAGTGGATTCAAATTGATTCATATAAATTATAAATTATTTATAAATTTACTCTCTTCTAATAAATCTAGATTTAGTATTACTAAAAATGAGATTAAATAAGTAACTTTAAGGATTTAGATTCTAAATTAAATTTCTTATTGTATTTCTGTTTTAAATAAAAAACTTTTTATATTATTTTATAAAAATATCCTATATCTTCAATCTGTTCCAAATTAAGAAATTGAATTGTTTTCAACAAATAATAACTTAAATTTTATAGCCAAAATTATAAATATACTAGTTCCTATAACAAAATTGATAATAGTTCAATTCAATTAAAGACATTAATATGGATTTTTAATCCCTTATTAAACCTTTTCTATCATCTATTCTCTGAATTAATTTAAAGCAACTCTTACATCTTTGCACTTTTTTATAGCAATTTCTATAAATCATATTTGATAATTATATACATTCAAGAAGTGGCTAAAGATCTTTTAAAGCTCTATCTTTTACATCGCCAAACCAACTTTAAATATAGATTCCATTCTCTGGTTATAATTAAAAGTTTTCAGGCATATTGTCAACAATAATAACTTTGGATAGATTTTTATTTAAAATTGACAGATCCTTGAAAATATTATCTTTATCAATACTTTAATGTAAACTTCATCTTTAAAAACAGTTTAATCTCTATAAAGTCTTTATTATACAACTTCATTTTTGTCAATTATGTCAATAATAAAATTTGCATAATCTGGCAAAGCTGCTGTGAAAATGACAATCTCATAATATTTTGATAATGTTTCTAAAAATTCTTCAGCGAATGGTCTAACTAAAAATTATCCACCTCCTTTTGGAAACTAATTATTTTATAATTTAATTACTTCTTGATAATGCACCAATGTTTCATCTAAATCTAATACCAATGTATACTCTCTTTATATTATATTTCCAGTTTTTACCATTTTTTAAGGGATCAATTTTTCTATTAAATTACATAATTTTCTTTATTGTGCAAGAAATTAATCTAAAGTATTTGCTATATTAGAAATATTCAATTAAATTTCGGGACGAACTATTTCGTCAATCCTTTTAAACTATCATATTGATTAAATAAATTACATTAATCCTAAAATGGACTTGATAATAAAGTTATTTTTTTATAATCCCTAGCTTCCTTTTGTACTTTATTTTCTAGAATTCTAACTTCTAATTTCAATTCTTTGTTTTATAGAATTTTAAATCTAATTATTAGTCATGGTTCCCTACAATACTTAGAAGACATAAAGATTGCTATTCAAAATATATTGGATAAGATTTTTGACATTATGGTCTTCATTACCATCTTAATCTTAAGATTCACTAATTAATATAAAATTGGCCTATGATTCATATAATAAGGTTTCAAGTATTTTTGGTTCTATTTTAAATAAATATTCACTCTATAAAATAACACAAATATAATACATTTTATTTTTCATTAATCAATATGATTAATTTTTATAATTAATCACTTTTTTAAATTAAATTTGAATAAGTTGAATTTTCTATTGAATGGAAAATATCATACCATAATTGTTCTTTTTCAAAGAGTAATTTAATTATAGTTTATTAAAATGTTTAATCATTAAACTAATTATTTGAAATATCTCCTTTTAATTTTGGAGAATTGAGAGGAGAAATATTAATAACTTTTTCAATATTTTTCTTACTTGAAGATTATTTAGATTAATTTGTGTTATCTAATTTTTATTTTAAACTATTAAAAGATTCTAAATATGATTTATTAATCATTTGTGGATAAGATTTTTTAGAACTGCTATTTTGATTTTTTGTATTCAAATGTTAAGATGTATTTTTCTAATTGCTATTTAAGAGCATATTAATTGTATTAATATTTTCATTATTTATTGTATTTTAACGTATTGGTGTGGAATGTTTTTAGTTATTCTATTTATTTAATTGACTAATTGTATTTTAACAACTTTTTAAATTTCCTTTTGAATTTGAAGAAGATTAATCATTTTTCTTATTGTATTAATAATACAGATTTTAGAAATATCTATGATCTAATTCTCTATTTTATTCTGGAGCTATAAATGTTGACTTTAGAAATGTTTCATTATTTTTAGGAGTATTTTATTTTACCAAATTACCTGTACGACTTGAAACTAAATATATTGAATATTATATACATTAACCATCCCCTTTACTATCACTTATCTAATTTTCTTTTTTTTTAAGTACATTTTATCCAAACAACTATGTTGTAGCTTTGTTAATTTCATCCTAAACCAAATTGTTTAAAAATTATTTAACTTTTTATGGATTGGAATAGTCAAGTCTAGCTGTTTATGGCCTATTATTAGGGTTCTTAGGAGTAAAATCTATTTTGATAATTAAAATTCTTACTTCTATTATCAGGTTGATTTTCTTTAAATGATCCACGGGATTTATTTGAGCATGATGATACATCAAGTATATTTAAATAGTCTGATGCTTTTGAGTTAAGTTTGCTACAAAACATATTTGAAATTGTTAACAGATTTAATTAATTTCTCAAATAATCCAATTTCAATGAATTTATTACTTATATAAATGGACCCTTTATAATATTTCATTTCCTTTCATTTTCATAATCAATCTAGATCATCTCTAGTTTATAGAATAATATAAAAATTAAGTAATCTAAAAAAACACTCTTTTTATTTTAGAATTTAAGACTTTCTATAATTGATTTCCATTATTTATTAAATTATAGGAATTTAATAATTGTTAGTAATATAATTGTATAAAGTAAGAATTAATTACAAATAAATTGAGTCAGGCATCTAATACGAATTCTTCTATTTCAGTAAGATCAATTACTTGAGTTCCATAATGTTTTTATTTTGTCAGAAATTAAGAACATTCATCAGAATTAATGAGTTTATAATTACTAAACAAAATGAACTATCTATTTACCTGCTTAATTCCTATAGAAACTATTGAATTCCGATTGCCCTTTTTTTTAATGTATCTGGAGACAAGTTTCCAAATAAATGTTTAGATGGAAATGTTAATTTTATGCCAAAAAGTTTTTTAAGTTTTTGATAGAATTGCCAAAGTGTACTATAGCGTATTTCCATAATCCATATTTTTCCTTATTCATTTACTTCCACCTAGAATATTGATAAAAATGAAAAAATACTTGATATTCAGCAAATGTTTTATGTATTTTTACTGTTTGCATCTTAAATGTAACATATTAGATGGATCTTTTCCTTTATTTTTTGAGAAATGATAAAATAGGTGGACTGTTAATGTTTAAATTTTATTCCTAATTAAGTGATATATCTGATATCATTAAGCATATAATACTCTTTAATTAGATGAAAAAATAAATAATAAATCATTTAATGTTAAAGAATTATTTATTTCCACAAAAAAAATTTTGATTCTATAAAATAATCTTATTTTTACAACAATATTGAATGTCCTACAATAATATGCAAATTTTGAATATTAAACTTCTAGAAACATAATTTCTTTAAAAAAATATAACAAAATATATATTTATAAGAATTATTGTTATTCTAATACATTTTAGAGTAGATTATATATATTCTTATAAATCATTAATAAAAAAAACAAAAGAAAATAGTTAATAAAGGAATTGTCAATGATATTCAATTATTGATGTAGAGTTATTTTTTTTCAAAAATTAATATAACAAATAATACAGTTTTCGTAAATTAAGGTATAAAACAATAATTTCTATTGTATTATTCTATTTGTTTGAATTATTTTGTTAGATGTCAAAATTTATATAGATTTTTAAATGTTAACTTTTTTGATTAGAAATAAGAAATAAAGACTGATAATACTTATAATAGGGGAGCATTAACTTATATTAATGGTAAAAATAGACTTAAAAATTAGTAAACTTATTATAGAACTATTAACCATTAAAATTATTTTATTTTATTATAAGTCATTTATATAAAAGTAGATGAAGTAATATTGAATATGTAGTCTGCAATTAATTATGATAATATTTATAATTAATTTCAGAATATAAGACTTTAGTATGATTTGTTACATTATATATATAAAAAAGTATATGTAAAATGTACATATTTAAAATAGATCAGATCAAAGGAAGAAATATGATTGATTAAGTTTTATAAATTTTTAAGTAATTTAATTAAGTTATAATCTTAGTCTTCGAATATGGGAGGAGCATGCTCTGGAAAAAAACCATAGCCAAAATAGAAATAGCAATAATAGGAATTAAATATAGTTGAATAACCATATTTGCAAGTGCAATCAATTAGTTAACCATAATCAAGGCCACCAGAACAAAGAAGTGAAACTGGGTAATCTGTTAAGGAATTGCTTTATTAATATAAAAAATTCACAGATTTCTTAGGATTAGTAGGTAATTTGGATCATTTGCCAGCCCATACTAGAGAATAATTGAATAATTGTATAATTTAGAGATCCAATATAAATATACTTATATAAAATAGTATTAAAAGAATAATGAGAGAGTAAAAAATAATAAAGAGAGTAGAAGAGAGTGATTATTATTTAATTCATAATGATGAGAAATTTGCCATTACATTTGTGTAATTAATGTAAAGAATATCAAATATAATATTGACTGAACTTCAATAGGATTCAAATTTTTAGGAAGCTTTTCCAATGTTGATTGTTTCATTTGTTGATTTAGCAACATAGATAAGTAAGGAAATAGAGAATTTCTAAGATTTCAAAACTCATTCAATCAAAAAATAGAATACTAAACATCAAATTTCTTAAGACAATTATTAAGCATCAACAAATAAATGATTTCTTTGTAGTAGTGATTATATCTATAAATTTAATATTTAGAGATTAATGTAATATATTGATCTCATCATAGTGTATCTTCACATTTAAAATTCTATATATAAATATATGAAAATTAATAATTTATAATTAAACATTATATTAAAAGAAACTTATTGATATTTTTCATATTTATTTTTGAAAAGAAAATATGTTTATGGGATGCTTAATTATTTCAAGATAGAAAAGTTCTTATATATTAATAATTTATAAGAAAATACAAATATAATTTATTAATAAATGGACTAAACTATTAAAAATGTTAATAAATTTACAACTACAGATAAAGAATTAGAAAATAACTTAAAAGATTTACTTGAAAGAATATTAGTCTATATAGAGAAATATATTGATACAAAAGAAGAATTAAATTAAATTGAAAATGAATTGAAAAACTACGAAAGTTTGTCCTATTTAGTTGGTATTATAAAAGTAATATTTACTAAACTAATGCTGAAAATAGAATAGAAATTGTTGTAAGTAAAAAATTATTATTCAAAATCCAAAGGAAATTGGATAAAAGCAACGATTTTAATAATTCTTAATTCTATTAAAATGATGAAGAATATGATAAATTAGAATAAACTATAATTAAATATGAATAAGAAATTCGAAATCATATTAGTGTAATCAATTTTTATTATTATTTTTAGATAGAATAACAATTAAAATTATTTGCTGAATCTATTTAAAACAAATTGGATGAGAGTGAATAAATTAGATAAGAAGTATTGGAAACAACTAAAACTAATCTAAGTGTAAATACATTTTATTATATTATAATAGAAACTGAAAAGAGAAAATTAAGAATTAAATGAAAAAGAGAAATTATTATAATAAGAAGTAAATAATTTAAAGTAAACTATTTCAATTTTAGAAAAAGAAAACAAAAAAAAATCTATAGAAACTAATTAAAGAGACTATTTATAATCTTTAATTAATAAATAAGCTAATTAATAATCAGAGCTATAAAAAAATAGACTTAATCAAAATTTTTATCTGGATTCAAGATAATTAAACTCTCATTCTGAACATAAATCAAATCCATAATAATTTTTAAAAGAATAATAAGAATTAATAATTCCTACATAATCATCTTAAAAATTAAATTATTATAATATTATCAATAATATAAATACCAAATAAAGATAAGAAATTAATAAATCAATTCAATAACAAGATTTTAACAATATTTATAGTTAAATAATGAGAAATAAACATAATTCATTATCATCTATAAATGATCTAATTTAAAATGTAAAATAATAAGATAAAAAGCGCAATGATTAATTATAATCAATCTCGAAGAATAGCTCCTAGAATAATAGTATGATTTAGAAGAATAGAAGTATTATTAATTATTTAATAATCAAAAGTATATTAATAAATTGAACCATTGTAATTTTAATAAAGAAGTAAAAGTTCTAAACGAGCAGATGACATCATTAAATATTAAACTTTAGAATCTGTAATAAAACTAAAGTGATTTATTCAATTTTGGATTAAATAATTTAAATTCAATCATATTTCTTATATTATTTAATCTTATTAATTTAATATTATTATTAATTCTATCTAATTATTCAAAAGAAATCTAAAATAAATTTTATATTAAATATAAAAATTTATATATATATATTTGAAAACAAGAAAAAAATATTTTATCATTAGCAATAGTAAAATCGTATCAATAATATTAATTATATATAATATATTAATTAAAGAAAATTAATTAACTTTAAAAGAGAGTTTTTAAAGATAAATATCAAATGAATTATATTATTTTCTACAAAATAGGAATTAAAAATATATAAAAATCAAGAATTTTATTAAATCTAAACTGAAATTTGATTTCCTTTGATATCTTCATGAGCTTGCTATTATTGGGAATCCTAAAGTGCAAAATTATTGAAAATTTATTCAATTGATGCTTATTTTATGGAGTACTATGAGATTCTATTTTATTTTTTCTAAATTTATTAATTAAATAATTACATTTTGTTCAAATCCTTCAAAAAGTTTACTAACAGTTATTTATCCAAGTAGTCTGAACCTATAGAAAGTTTAAAAATGTTCAATGATTTCAAATTATCCAAAACTTTACTGAATAAATTTCTACAATAGATCCCCCATTTTCTCTACTATAACATATTCTGCAAGTGTTTCAACAGCTAATCGATTAGGTTTTCTAATATCATTATAAATATGTGATCCAGAACCTTTCATAGTTATTTGTTATTCTAAATGACTTGAATTGATTTTTCTTAATATATCAACAGTAGTATTTTAATCCAATCTAGAGTTATTTTCTAATCCCATTTATTAGATTAATAGTTGAATCTCATTTTTTTAAGGTTTTTCTAATTTGACTTCAATTTCATATCCTTTACCAAATTTACTTTTAATATGTTAAACAGATCCAAGACATCTGAGATTACCACTAACTTGAATAGCAATTTTAGTTGATAATGCTTCAGCTTCTTCCATTGAATGAGTAGTCAAAATGATAGTACTTTGTTTTCTTTGAGTAGCAATTCTTGAAATAACATTCCACATGAATCTTCTTGCTTCTGGATCCATACCAGTAGAAGGTTCATCTAAAAATACAATTGGAGGGTTTCCTATCATAGCAATAGCAACTGACAATTTTCTTTTATTTCCACCTGAAAGTTAACCTGATTATATATGTTCAAATCTCTTTAAATCCATTTCATTTAATTTCTTTTCAACTAATTCTTCTTTCCTCTAATATGGAATTCCTTTGATATCTGAAAATAGTTCTATATGTTCTCTAACAGTTAGATTATCTAAAAGAGCATCAAATTAAGGACAATATCCAATATTGACTCTAGCAGCTTCTAACTCATTAATGACACTTTTGCCTGCAATAAATGCTTCTCCACTAGTAGGCTTTAATTCTCCTGATAATATTTTAAAAGTAGTAGTTTTACCAGCTCCATTTACTCCCAATAATCCAAAAACTTCACCTTAATCAATTGCAAAACTAACTTAATCCACAGCTACTTTATGTTTTCCTTCTCCCAACATAAATACTTTTCTCAATTCTTTAACAAGAATGGCTTTCTCATTTGGCCTAAAAGATTCACATAATTATTTTTCTTTAGCTACATCATCATCTATAGGTTTTGGAATATAAGGTATACTAGATTCACTTGATCCAAATTTCTACAATTATCCATTATCCTCAAAGTATTCTATAATAAATATGCATATCAAATAAAATGCTCCCATTATTGCAAGCATTAATACATCTCCACCACTTACTTCCATATCATAAGTACTTTTCATTTCAGTCCATCCCTCCATAATCATATATATATCTTTAGAACATGCATTTAATATGCCATATGCAAATGAAAAAGATGGAATTAATCTAAAAATCCATTACAAAATAGTAGCTACATCTCTTGTAGATGAAATCAATCTCAAAATATAAATTATTAAACTTATAATTGATCCAACCAATAAATGTATGAAAAAGCTTAATAACATTGCATTTCCTTATTATTTAAAGGCAAAACTAAAGAAATAACAAAATGGAATTATTGCCCAACCATATAAAAAGAAGATCAACCATGAAAATCCATAATTTTCTCCTTCTATTAAAGCCGTAATATCAAAAGCTAAAATTAGAAGACAACACACAACAGCTGGAATTACATGCTTTCCTAAATCCATCAACCAATTACTAAACCAATATGCTTTAACTGAAACTCCTGATACTAATTATTAATGTTTTACATTAATCTCTCTTTCTTTAACAATATATGATATTAAAGATGCTGGAATAAATGCCATACCCATAGAAAATACAAGAGCAGATAAGAAACCTGCTATTGCTTTTGAGCCATTCAATTCTTCATAAGTTTTCCTCAAAGGGGAATTAGTAACTTTGATCTAATAATTATTATTATTAGTAGCTTTTCTTAAAATTGCTTAATTCATTTAATTTTATAAAACAATTGGAGCTTCCCTAAATATTGTATTAACAAACATATAATATGAATATTAATTATTTGAATTACTGGTCAAATAATACCATCCAATATTTGATCTTAAATCAAAAGTATCAAAGTAATTTTAATCAATTTTTTAAAGATTAATTAAACTATCATCTCCAAAAACTTAAATGGATGAATTATACATTTCTAAATTAATTTATGAAAATAGAGATTAGTCATTTAATCCTCCCCATAAATATTAGATTCCATTTCCATAACATTCAGATGGAGGAGTTAAAATAATTATATTTGGTTCAGTGATAAATTCAATTGTCATTAAAATTAGACCCAAAAGTACAACCAAACAAGGTAAAAGGATTTCACAACATAAACTCTTAAGATCTCTTTTAAAAAATCTAGCTCTTTTCATAAGTAAAGCAATAGTGTGATTGAAAAATAACTAAGTAGAATTTGTAACTCTTATTTAATTAATATCAAAATCGTCAATTTAAATGGCTTATTTATTTTTATCCTCCATTTCCATATAATCATTTACTTAATGATGTCCAGCTCCTATCTAAGCAACTTTCAAAAATACTTCTTCTAATGTTGTAATGCTGATTCCATAACTCTATATATGTAATGTTTTTAAATTATTATCTAATTCTGCAAATAATTTAGGAAATTTAACAACTGCATTTAAAGGTAATTACATAAGAATTTCAGCTGAGACTTTAGATATTAAAATAGCCTCAGAACAAATCTTCATTATTACTTCAATAATTGGATCTGATTCAGTTAAAGTACTTTCTTTTACAATTGTTAGATTATAACCATTACCAAATTGATTCTTTAAAAATACACTACTTCCTGAACACTATAATTTACCTTCTCCCATTATACCTATTCTATCACCTAGAAAGTCAGCCTCATCCATAAAATGTGTTGTTAAGACTATGATTCTATCTTCTTTATAATTCTTAAGCATTTCCCAAATATATCTTCTTGCACTTGTATCCATTCCTGAAGTAGGTTCATCCAAATATATTAATTTAGAATTACCAATAAAGGCAATAGCAACAGATAATCTTCTCTTTTATCCTCCAGATAGATTCTTACTTAAATAATCAGTCTTTTCTAATAAATCAACATCTTCAATCATTCTTCTAACTGCTGCAGGAATATCTTCTGGTTTCATTCCTTTAAAAGTTGCAAACATTTCCAAATGTTCTTTGACTGTCATATTATCAAATAAAATATCATGTTATGGACATACCCCCATAAATTATCTAATTTCTTCAATTTAAGTTTCAACATCATATCCAAATACTGTTGCTTCTCCTTCAGTAATATCTAAGAGACCTGTCAACATTGAAATTGTAGTAGTTTTACCTGCTCCATTATGTCCCAATAAAGCATATATTTAACCGACATACATTGTTAAACTAACATTACTGACAGCTTGTTTTCCACTAGGATATATTTTAGTGAGATTAGAGATTTAAAGTACTTCTCTTCTACTTTCCTAATCTTTCAAAGCTTATTCCACTTCTTCATATCTTTCTTAATGGATTAATGATGACTTTTTCCTTAGTCTTTATTATTGAGAATGATGAGATCTATTAAAATAAGGAATGCAAAATAAAGGATGTAATTTCTTACCCCATTCATTTGGAAAAACTAGATCCAAATAAATAGACATTATTAAGTAAAAGAATATGTTTAAGATATGCATTATCAAAGCAATGTTGACAGCATAATTTTCAACTTTAGTAGATATTGTTGACATTGAAACTCCTCTACCTTATGCTTCAAACATTACCATAACATCAAAAGCAAAAGACATACCTGCATGAGAAGATATAGAGGCTCCCCAATAAGATGATTCTGGAACTATCTCTTATCCACTTCCTACTAAACTTATTACCATATACATTAGTAAATACCAAACTATTGCTACGATTAATCCAAATAATGCTCTTGTAAAAAATACACTATGATTAAATTTAGTTTATACCTAATAAACATAGATTAGAATATTAAGACTATACAAAATAGCCAATAATTTAAGAATAATACAAATCCATCAGTATGAGTAAAAACAATGGCTGATAATAATATTGTAGCAATAATTGATATAATTGTATAGATTAATAGATATTAGATAATCCATGATAGATAGAATGAAGTGTTATTTAATCCCATCATTTTCATACCTTCCCTTAACTTTTTCTCTTTTTCATAAATCATAGCATAAGTCATTCTCAAATATATGATTATTAGAGGTAATATCAAATATACACCAAATTATCCTCTTAAAAATGTTGCAAATTCATCTTTAACTCCTTCCTATTAATGAACTAATTAATTTAAACTTTTAAATACCATAAGAGAACTTAGGATTTATTGTAGCTTAACTATTTGTTTCAATTCTCAAAATAATGTTATCTATAAATGTTTACACTGTCAACATACCAGATTCCCAATAAGTATTTACCTTTTCATAATCTTAATATTTTATTGGATCCACTTCCATTAGATTTGTAGGAGGAATTTCAAAATCATTAAATCCACTAGTATTAAATCTTAATTAATAATCATAAATATTATTTCCAGCTGTTTCATTAAACATTACTCCAAAACATATTCTAGGTACTCCATCTCTTCCATAATCTGAATCTGCTGTGTATTCATTAAGTTCATCATTATTTTTAAATATCATTGTTTAATAATTATAATAAGCTAAATTCAATTGTAATATATCTTACTTTCAAAAATATATTTAAGCTCTTTTACAATCTCATGATTTTCATTTGGCCCAAGAGCCACATGTCCATTTAACCAGAATCTTTCTTATTAATAATTATAGTTATCTATACAATTTCTAAAATTGTTTTATTTATTACTTCATTTTAGGTAATACTGATAATCTACTTTTTGTATTTAAACTCTTGAGATTATCAACCAAATTCAAACTTGCATTCCATTTTTAAATGATCATAATCTTATCTTCAATTTCTTTTTCATTAATCATAGGGTACAACATCACTGGTACATTAGGATCTGATGATTTCCAATCTAGTTCAGGTTATAAAAAGGCAGTTTCATCAAGATTAGTTTTATCTACAACACCTCTAAAAAGATGATTAAAACTGTTACCTTATTCCTCCTAATGCTAATATTAATATTAATGGTAAAATGATTTCACAAGTAGAACAGAAACAGTTTCTCTTCCAAAGAATCCAATTCTTTCTTAGTAATGAAGATAAATGGCCCATCTTTTGGTTATTTTATTTAATTTCTTAAACTCAGAATTTTTTAAGTTCTTAAATCACTAATTCTATAATTAGATATAGAATATATTAATTATTCAATACTTTGTATAACTCAGATTTTTAGAAATTCCAAAATTATTATTCTAATTCTTTGTTCTTACATTCCAAAAATTCTTATCAAATTTAATTACAACAAGATAAAACTCTATAGCTTTGATACTTAAATTTAAATTAATTAAAAATCACAATTGCTTTAATGTAAGAAAAAGTTAAGAAATATTTATGAAAACAAATTATGAAAAAAGTAAAACAAATCATTAGGCAATTTAATGTATTTTATGTGTTATACAATTTTATAATACCTATTTCAATCTCTAAGTATTAATCTAATAATATTATACAATCATTTTTAAAATAATAAAATCAATAAGCAAAAAGGGGTTACATTATATTAATCCAAAATAATATATATATGATATTACAACTTTATCATTTTTCATACTAAACTAATAATAATATAGTGGAAAATCAACTCAACGTTTTGATTTTTTATTATATATAAAAATAACTGATATGTAAAATAAAATTACATTAATCATATCTAATTTAATACAATAAATAATATAATCTAGATATATATATATAACTGTCATATATAATAATTAAATCTCAAAATATTATCAAGTTATGAGGTAATTCATTTGTGAGTTTTATTGTCTTAAAGTTTTTTTGTTGATTAATTTATGAAGCTTTTATGATTACTTAACATACTTTTTGGTATATTTGTGATGATTTAGGTATTTACAGGTGCTGTTGTTTGTTTTTATGATGTTTTTAAGTAGACTCTTTATTATTAAATTTCTTATAAAATTAATGTATTTTCAGTGCTCATTGTTTCTTCCTTTGTTGATTTTGTTTCAGTATTTATATGGTATTTTGTGACTTCTTTTACAAAATAAACATTGATTTTATCATTATTAATCACAACTTTAGGTGATATTGTCTTATAAGTATCACCTTGTTTGAGATTTTGTTAACCATCTATTTCTTTGACAGATTTTCTTTAAACTCCTGATTATGTTATTTTTAAATGTTCATCACCTATATAGTAAATTAGATATACTTTTCTATGTAATTAAAGTCTTAGAACTTTTACAGGTCTAAAGAATAACATTAGGATTAGCCACTTAACTTTTTTATAACAAAATTGAGTCCTTTTTTCCACCCCTGAAGTCTTTTAACTGAATTGATGTTTTTCTATTATTTGATCCTATCCTAGCAGTGTTATTACAGTTTTGTAGAGTATTCATTTGTTTTTTCTCACAACAAAACAAGTTTAATACTTATTCGCTTTTCATATGATTTTATAAACAATAATTAAACAATATTAAATATCAAATTAATATATTCTTGATATTATTAATAATATATATGAAATTTACAAATTTGATTTAATACTCTATTACTAATAGAGTATATATTAATTTTATGAATTAAAATGTTGTATTATAGTAATTAATTAAGGTTGTTATTAATAGACTTTAAAATAAAAAAATAAGGCAAAAAATACTACTAATTTTTATGATTAAATTCCATATATATCTATATTAGAAATCTAATTTCAAATGAATTTTATTATAAAAATGCTAAATTGAATCATCCCATATTTTCTGAATATATTTATTATCAAATAATTTAATTAGAAATTTGAAAGATTATTTTTGGTATTATAAAATAATCAAATGAATTAAATTATTAAAATTCAATTGATGGGTTTTTTTACAATATCTATTAATAATAAAAATTTTTATCTCACTAATTTTACATATGCATCAAATAAAATGAATATAGCTTTAGATCACTAGCCTAAGTTACTTGCAAGGAGAGTTATTCAATTTTTGAAGAGGAATTCTGTAAAAAGTCTTTTCATCAATATTTATGAAATCGATTACAATGCATAGTATTCTAATTATTTTGAGGGTATATCTAAAAATGTATCAAAGATATAAATAATGAAAGTTCAATAAGGAAATTTTTGTATTATCCAATATATAAAGTAACTTTAGTACTAATTAATAGGAAATCATTATTGAGTTTTTTTCCAAATAATTTTAAATTATAATATTAATAAGTTTTAATCTTGAAAGCAAATTTAATATAAATTGTTCTTTAATATTTGATTATGATTAAAAAATAAAATTTGAAATAAAAACCTTACAAGATAAGTTGATTATTAACAAGAAGAAGAATAAAGAAATCATAAAGATGATTTCATATTTAAATAATAAATTTATTATATAAATTTAGAAATTTATTATAAATAATAATACAACTTAAATATTTTTAGAATTTTATTAATCAATAATCATTATTCACTTTCCTTTTTGATTTCATTTTTCCTAGCTTCATTTTATGGTTATTATGTAGCACCATTTTAAAACATTTACATATTCATTTATTATTATTTTAATTATGAAAACATCTAAAAATTAAAGGCATTCTTATTAGCACTCATATTCATTAAAAATTAAAGAGAATTTGCAGACAAATTATTTTATGATTGAGATAAAAATTATTATTATTGACTAGGTTATTCTTGCTTTATTTATATAACATTAGCCTTTTTTTATTCTCCTGTTATTTATGGTTAATTATTATCCCTATTTCCTACAATAATTAATAAAAAATACTTAATTCTTCTTCTTATTCTTATTACAATCTTTAAACAATTTCAGTTAAAATATTAGAATAGTTTGCAAATCTCTGTTAATTTTTAGATTACATATTTGATAGTTCTTACGTTAATTATTGACTTTCCTAAAATAGTGTTTCATTTTATTGCATAATTTATTAGAGTGCTATTTATAGTTATTTTTAACTGTCAGCTATAGCTTAAATTTCATTTTTTAATTCCTTTTGTGCTTTCTTAAATTATTCAATTTCATCAACAATTTATGGAATTTCCTAAGATTCTTAATATATATTTAACATCTTTATCATCATTTTCTTCTTAATTTCTTCTTTTGATATTAGTCAATAAAGCTCTTCCATCTCTTCGAAACCATTTATGCTCAAATTTTTAATTTATGTCATCAGCTTTACTTTTTTTAAAATTATACATGTTGAGTTATCTAAATTTTAGAATAAAATATATTACCTTAAAAAGCTCGGATAATTCTTATGTTTGAAATATTTTGGTAATATTTTATCAGCAAGTAATTGTTAATTTCTTACAATGAATGCGTTTCCTTCAGTATTCCATCCAATAATTTCTTTTAGATCTTCATTCTATTGTGTTTATTAGATTATACTTCCATAATGTCAAACAGTCTTACTAAAAATGAAGGCACACTTCCTTTTTATCTTTATTCAGAGCTCTAACTTTAAGAATCTTAGAAATTATCACTACTATCTTACATTTTATTAAAAATATTATTGTTTTGATTTTTATTAAAAATTAATATATGTATTCATAACGAATATCTTAACAATACTGATGAATATAATTTAATCTTTTGTAAAAATATTATGAGTTTTATTTACTATATATAGAATTTTATAAAATAAATATTAACTAAATTTAAATTTAATAAGATTCATTAATATATAATAAATATTCCTAATCATATTTTAAAAATAATTCAAATAAATAATCAATTCAAATATATTTCAATTAATTAAGATATTAATGTATTCCTTAATAGTATATCATCTATTTTAGTTAAATTAAAATGTCATCTTGTTGATAAATAATTAAATAGTATTATATTGTTTTCAATTTTTATCAATAAATATTATTAATTATTAATGACCTATTTAGAAATTCTAAATATAATTGATTTGATTAATAATTGATAGAAATTGTAAATAATATTTATTAAATGAATTTGAGAAAATTTTCCAAATTATCATATTTTCAAGCCAAAAGTTTAAAGCCATAGAATTAGTAAAACAAAGTTGTATAATCCAAAAATATTAAGCCTATTTATGGAAATGAAAAAAAAAATTTGAAAGAATAGTTTGAATAAAATTAAAGTAATCATTAAACATTGATTAATTAAGAAACAAATGAGATAACTGTTTCTGATTTTGAAACATCTACTCATATGGAAAAAAAATGTAAAATTTACATAATTAAAGTAATTAGCAATCCAAGGACAAATAAAAAACATTTTTCACCAATCTTTAGAACAAACAATATTATTATTGATCCAAATTCAACTAAATTCTAATTATCTTTATCTAGAGAAAAATTATTAAGTAATGATGTTATAAGTTTATGGGATTCAAATAAAAGAGGAAATAAATAATCTTCCAATAACTTTTAAATAGAAGAAAAATAAACATTTATATGCAAAGGTTCAAAGTAAAAATTAGATAAAGGTATCAAATTATAAAAAGAATTGGATGAATTCCTTAAATTTAGGCATTAAAATATATAAACTTCATTTGATTCTTCAAAATTAAAAAAATTAGAAAAAAGAAAACTCAAAACAAAAATTAGTATTGAATATCAAATTGATTAAAGCATTAATAAATAAAATAATGAAAAAGCATGCTAATTTAATAACATGAATACTCAAAATTAAGACTTACATACTCAATTAAATAATTCATAAGACTAGAAAGAAAAATCAAAAAATAGTAGTTCTATCAAAAGCAATCCTTTAATTCCAATACATATTAGATATTAATATGAAAAAGAATATAAGGAAGCTAAATAAAAATCAAATGAAAAGATAAATGAATAATAATTTATACAAAGTATCACATTATATTTATTGTAGAAAAAAAAGTAAGTAAGGACCAAATAGAAGAATTTTTTAAAGAATAATAAAAATTTATTAAAAAGAGAGCAGATTTTTTTGAAAAGGAATTTGAGAAAAAACTTTGGGAAGCTTCTTAACATGAAAGTGAATTTATTTATAAACCTGTTCTTAATGAATAATCAAGTCGAGTAATTTTAACAAATATGTATTTAGATTTTAGAAAAGAAATTAAAAGGTAAAAAATTTGATTAGAGAATAGAATAATTCTAATAAAATAGATAAAATAAAATAGATGAATAAATTTAAAATATGAAACCTTCTTTTACACCAACAATAAGTAAAAAGTCAAGATAAGTAATAATATAATATAATAATTATAGCTTATGGAAAATCCTAAATAAAGACTTACATCTTAAAATGAAAATGGATTTTAATAATATAATTAAAAAGCAAAGACTTTAGAATGACTTAATTTAAATTATATTAATTTATATATTTGTTATTCATTAATTCAAAAACTTTTTACTGATGGTATTAAGATATCTTTATGAAATACAGGATCATTAATTACTTAATCAATATTCCATCTATTTTAAACATTCTTTTCTAAACATCCATTTATAACTCTCTAAACGTTTTCATTTATTTTTTTATCTTAATTAGTTTTTAATTTTTAACACTAAATTTATCTATATAAATCTTTATCATTTTATCCTTTAAATGGATATTCTCCTGTTATCATTTTAGATAAAAGAATTCCCAATGACCAAACATCAGAACTTGAAGGATGATGAGGAACCTTATTAATTTGATTTTAAAAATTACCTTTGCTATAATTTCTGGAGACATATAATGAGGTGTTCCACAAAATACATTAGTTTTTTAATTTGGAGGCATACATATTGCAAAACCAAAATCTATTAGTTTAACAACATTTGTTTTCATCATTAATACATTATCTAATTTAATATCTCTATGAGAAATATTTAGATCATGCAAATATTTTATAGCCATGGCAATTTAATAAAACAAACTTAAACATTCTTTTTCAGGTAAGATTCTATTTGGCTTAGACTTAATGTACGAAGCCAAAGATTATGATGAAATATATTCCATTACTAAATTGATCTTATATTATAATAAAGTACTGATTTTTTATCTTCTATTGCCCAATATAATTTGATAATATTTTGATGTTCAATTCTTTTCAATATAGATATTTCTCTTTTTACATTATTCATTTTTTAAGAATCATTTAATTTAATTTTTTCATAAATTTTAATTGCATATTTTTCTTTAGTATTTTTATCAATACCTAATCTAACCATCGCAAAAGATCCTGATCCTAATATTGTTTCCAATTTAAAATTTCCCATTATCAATTCTTAATTACATAATTAATTTAAAGCTAAAGCACTTTTAGGTGGTTTTTATGGTTAAAGACATTTATCAATTATTTATTATTAAGATTCTATTTTCTATTTTTCTTTTGTTTCTTCAAATCGTTTGATTCTTGGAGCAACTCCTGATAATGCTGAAAAAGGTCTTGGTTATTGAATTTTCTTATTTATTGAAGCACTCCACTGTCTCTCTTACTATTAAATTCTAGTATTTTAAGTAGTATTTAAGGATAAATGTTACTCTTTTGAGGATTTCCATTAAGAACATTCTATCTATTATATGAAATATACTATTAATTTAGTTCTCAATATTTTTGAGAATTACATCAGCTTGTAATTTGATACTATTTAAATCATAAATATTAATGGCATCTGTTTTAAGTTCTAATTTTATAGTAATTAAAAGTTACATTTATTCTTTTCAATATTAGCTAAAAATGATTGAGTAATAGAGTCATTTGATTCTGATTTGTTAAGTTTTATTTATTTTAACATTTTTTGTTTTTTTTGAAAAATTAATAATGATAACGATAATTAAATTATTAATACAATAAAATTTTGTCTAATTAGTATAAAAAATATAAATATAAAAGCCATTTAATCCATTATTTAATTCATTCCTATAAACTATCTGATCTGGATGAAAATATTCTATCAACTAATTTGATTTAAGCTTTTTAATTAACAAATGATTTCGATGAATACTTTCTAGGAACTGAGATTAATTATTTAGTAAATATTCCATATGGATCAGTTACTTTAATTATTCTTTTTTTTTCTTAACTAGATATTTTATAGTTTTTTGAATTATTTTCTAATTGATTAATATCTTAACTATTGTATTAAAAAATATTTGATTTTTTTATTGGTTTGCATGATTCATATTGTTATTGAATAAAAGATTTTGGAGATTACTTAATATTTTAATCAAGATAATTAAAAATATTATAGCAAGTATCTGAACCATCCTAAGCACTTTATTATGTACTTTGTTTTGTACTTTATTTTGTGCTTTATTAATTACCTAAATTTTCTTTATTGGAATCCTTTATTGAATACATAGTATTTTTTCTAGAAACAGGATTCTTTTGTAATAGCTTAGTTTTCAACAACATATTTTTAATTGCAGCCAGATTTTATTAAGGTAAAGAATTCTCTCTTCTCCTTTTAAGTATTTATTAATTAGTTTTTGTGGCATCAGGATTAAAGAATTAAGCTGTCTTTTAAAAAGGATCCTCTTTTCCAAAACTCTATTCAAAAAAATTCATTTTCAAATTTAATATATTGGTTTATTATTAACAAATAAAAATTATATGAAGAATTACTAATAATTGATTTCTATTTAGAGATTTCATAATAAATCATAATATTTATTAAATTATTCTCAAAATCCTCTATTATAGATATAATCATATTCACCACCAAAACAAAAAAATATTTTTGAGAATAATTATTTACTTTTAATTGTTCTTCCAATTTACTCTTACTAACTACTTATTTAATATAAATCAATAAAACATTTTAATTTCTTTAAGAATCTACAACTAATAAAATTCTTTTTTTTACTAAGCACCAAAATTCATTCAAGACAAAGAAGTTCAGTAGTTTTATTTGATTTTTTCTAAAGCTGACCTTGCAAAAATAATTTCTTATTTCTTTTCTAATTTTTAAGAATTCTTTAATCCATTTTTTGGTTTGCTTTTAATCATTAAATAGCCAAAATCCATTTTTATATATCTGTTAGTTATTCTGATAAGAATCAATATTCTCTCTGATTATATTCAAAACTTAAATAATAATATAATTATCTAGATGTCTTATCTATCTATTTTATATATTTCAAGATTAAAAACAGGAATTCTTCCAATAAAAATACTTTTATCGCCCTATCATCATATGTAAAATAGTTAATAGTTTCTAATTAAAATGTATCACGTATCTTTGCTTTATTTGATCCTTATTTATCTGCTTCCTATCATGTAATACAAACAGATGAAATCATTATAAACCATCATTTTTTTGCTCTTGTAAATTTTTATTAGAACTAAAGATCTCCCACTACCAAAATGAATTCAGTATCGGATCCCTTAACATTGTCAATTTTAGAAATGGAATTCAGATTAAGAACACTTTAATTTCCTTCATGCCAGTACTTTGTGGCTTATCTTTAGATGAAAAGGGTTTCTTCTTCCAATATTTTAGATACTATCCCTCATTTCTTTCAGAAAAGTAACATTTCTGATATTCTTTTATCACACTCGGACTAATTTGCTATAGTACTCCGTTTAATTGTAATGCTTTAAATAATTTATATTCATTATTATTATTATTATACATGGAAACAGTTTCTTAACAAATAAAACAACTGAATCAGAAAAATTAAGAACTCTCTGTCTTAGAAAATAGAATAGTCTAATTGAAATAGTAATTGAATTTACAATAAGCAAACAATAATATCTTAAAGACTAAAGTTGATAAGATAGTCCACTCTAAAAAATAAAAGTTTTATGATTAAATGAAGGTAAACTCATTATTAGAGAATTTAGCTGAAAAAAATTCTTCAAGATAGTACTGTAAATAATGACGGAGCTTAATATATGATTCAAAGAAATAAAGCTTTATTAAATGAAGAACTAAGATAAACTAAATAGGATATGTTTGAAGAAAAGTATCTATAAACTTAATAGATGAAATAAAAATTAGATTTGGATATGCTTTTAAATTAAAAGAAAAGAGATCAATAACTCTTAGAAAAGCAATAATAATATGCAAAAGTACTTTAATCATTTTAACTAATTAGATATCAGAGTGGGAATTTAATCTTAAATTAGATTTAAAATAAAGATAAATAGATAAAATTGAAAGAATTAGATCAGAAGAAAAAGAATTTAAAGAATAATTAGCCAAACGAATTTAAGAATAACAATAGCTATGTGATTAATTAGCAAATGAAGAATAATAATTTTTGAGGTAATATTTTTCATTACACTTAATGAAGCAAATTAAAAAATTCACAATAGTTTGGAAATTCTCTAAAGAATGATCTAACAACTGCTATGAATTTAAGTATAAAGGAGTATAAAAATAATATGTCTGTGTCTATTCCTACTCATATTAAATCATATAGCTAATCTAAATTACCAAAGGAACAATAAAATAGTCCTTATGCCTAATTACCTACTATACTTATGATGAAAATGAGTGGATAAATGAATAAAAGTGGGAATGCTTCTTTTCGTGAATCTATAATGAAAGGTTATCAATTTTCTTTACCTTCTCTTTGTAAGCCTTCCTTTACTGAATAATAATAATAAGTCGATCGTCTTTATCAATCCAAAAAAGTGAAAAATAGCAAATCAGATTTATAGTAGATATTAAATTATTGTGATTCTACAGGTAAAATGGAATAGAAATAAAAATATCGAGTAAATTAAAGTGAATTAATAAAAAAATAAATGAGTACATAATCAATAAAGGAAAATAATTAAATTTAATAAGAGTAATAATAAAATAAATAACAATCATCAGAGGAAATAAAATATAATAATAATGATGAAGAAGTATCAAATCAGAATTAATAAGAAGAATAATAATGATGATATGTATTTATTAAAATTTTAATAAAATTTTATATCAGATTTTAAATCATTAAAAGATCCTATTTTTAAATCAGAGTCCAACTGATATATTTTAAGAAGGATTCTTCATACTAGGTCTTAAAATGATCTAAAACGATATAGTTATACTTTCTTTTCAATTTTCAATAAAATTGACAAGCTTTTTCATAGCTTTCTCTGCTGAAAATGCTCCAAAAGGTCCATCTCCACCTAATTTAGAGTGAATTTTTTCAGATTTAGCATCTTTTCTTGTCACAGTTATTTCCATTTCTCCTGTTATTTTATCTTAAGACTTGCTTGTCACTTCAGCTTAAGGATATAATGATTTAATGTATTATTAAGCCAAGTTGGATTAAGACCAATATCCTCATCCACCACAATATGTAATATGAACTGGATTATAAAATATGAAATACCTTTGAATTACTTATCTTTAGAAGTTTTAAGTGTTGAAATATTCTCTGGTAATTTGATCATGAAATAATTTAATAATATCTTTTTATAATATAAATTCACTTAAAAGTGTTAAAAAACAGTGGATCAAAAAGTCAAAGAAATTTTTATTGATTTTTTTTAAACATTTTTAAAATAGTAATAAAGCTTTGCAAATATTGAATATTTGTGATTTATATTGTAATGTGTAATGTATCAAGCTACAAGTATGCATGCTCCTCCTACTGCTTTGATTCTTCTCTCTGCAGTTTTGCTAAAGAATTTAGCTTTAACAACAACTGGTTAATTTGGAAGTCTACCTTTTCCAAGGACTTTGAAATAACCAGCCTTGGTGACATCAATAACAGCAGCTTTGTCCTTTGATTTAGAATATTTTTCTCTGGTTTCATCTGTGACAAGTGACCATAATTTATCAATATTGACAACTGGTCTATGGAGTGTGTTTTTTTTCAAATGGAAATGTCTCATACCGGTCTAGAGGAGGAATAGGAGTAGATGGGTACTTTTTGGAAATAACCTGGATGGTATTTATTGAAATTGATTCTATGATGTGTTAAACCTCCTGAAACACCTCTACCACTTGGATGTTTTCTGTGTTTACCAACTCTACCGTAACCATGGCATACATGTCCTCTCATTTTTCTACATTTTCTCAATCTGCTAACCATTGTATTAAATTTTAAAAAAAAGATTTTAATATGTGATTAATACCCTGATTGAATATATAAATCGAAATAAATATGAAGCAGTGATTAGTTAGAAATGTGAATTTATATATATTATTTGATGGTACAATAAGTTGAAGAAGAGAGTATTATTTATAAGGATTAAATAAATAATTAAAAATGTAAAATGATGCAATCGATTATCTGAAAATCTTCACATCATTAACTATATTCAAAGCATTTTGTTCTAGTGTCCATCGTTATAAAATTAACTAGATGCCATCTTCACATTATGAAACTGTAAATATGTGATCATGATATTATGATAGGAATCAACTTTGACTACTCTGATGAAAATTCAGATGTAATTCAATTTTCTACTTCTTCATTCCACATTGTTTTTTAAACACTTGGAAAATGTTTAAGAAATAGGTTAATTCAATCTATTCCTATTGATATCAACATGTCTATTTACTATGACTTTATTATTGACAGATTACAGATGGCTTATGAAAATATATAGATACGAAAATCATATTCTCAGAGAAGATTATCCTATTATTGAATTCTTAGGAATACAAATCTTTATGATGTTTGGATGTGCCTTACTAATAACTATTTAATGGTTCACAATTCCAATTCTCTCAGATCTAATGTATTAACTTTTATCCATTTACAAAATACCATAAATCATTAAATGTCACCAAAATAATTAAATGCCTAATATCACTTATTTCTGCTTTCTTGAGGATTATTGTATATTCATTTTTTTCTCTTACTATAGAGGTTGCCCCATCAATATCTTTAAACTACAAACTAATTTGGGAATTTGTATTAGTGTAGCCATTTTAATATGCATTCAGCAATGTATATTACTCTATTAGTTTTACATTAAACCCTAATTATACAATAATAAGTCTTAGGTTGAAGATTTTATCAAATAAATAAGGGAATAAAATATTTATTCAACTTTTGATGATTTAGTGATTAACAGTAACCTTGAGTGTGCAATTTGTCTTCAAGGTATTTTACATAACTAATTCTTTATAAATTTAATTCGATCCTTAAGATCCCATAGTTTTAACTAGTTGTTCCCACAAGTTTCATGAAAGTTGTCTGATAGTTTGGTTCAAAGTCAAAAAGCAATGTCCTGTATGCAGATATTAATTCTGAATGATTTTATTTTGATTTAGTTTTATATCCAATATTTATTTCTCGATTATATGTGAATATTCATATTTACTATAATTTTATATGTAACATTTTATAATATTCAAGACACTGTATAAATTAGGGTCCAAATTAATAAAAATTCACCTATTGAAGCTCCTAATCCCTCTGTGTATATTTCTGTATTCTCTATCTTATCTTCATCAATCTATTTAATTATTTTGCAAAAATGTACTTATTTGTATTTGAAGACATAATAATATGAAAATCCCATTGATAAAAATAAAAATCCCAAAATTGTCAATATGCCTTGTAAATGTAAAAATCCTGCTGCTAATCCTAGAAGGACTGAAACTATTTATCTCACAAAGAAAAGGGCGGTTTTGATTTGTCCAGGAGTAGCTTAATCATCTGTGGATAAAGAGAAACTCAAAAATTCACCTAGAGATTAGAATTCTTCTTTTTTTTAAGGCATTCAATAATATAATTTTATTAAAAAAATAAATATAACATGGGAAAAATTATAATCGAATACCTTGAAGGCTAGAAAATATATGCATGTAAGAAATGTAATGTTCATGTTACAAACTAAGATTATTTGATATCTAAAGTATATCAATTAATTAAATTTTAGTAATTCACAGGATAATCAGGAACAGCATTTCTATTTGATAAAGGGTAATAATAATAATAATAAAAAGTGTAAATTATTTAACAGGAATACCAGAAGATAAAAAATTAAGAACTGGTTTACATACCACTTAAGACATAATGTGCATTAAATGTTAAACATATCTTGGATGGAAATATGTAATGCCATGAATTACAATATTAAAGCTTCGTGCTTATGAGTAATCTGAGAAATACAAGGAAGGTAAAATCATTTTAGAAAAACTATATTTGACAAAAATCAAATGGAATTGATTTACTATCTAAAATTTATAAATATATATATATATATATATATATATAAAATCATTCTATTAATAAGACACTTTTATTTATGTTGTTAAATTTATATTAGTGATAAAAGTTTAACCCTATGTTGATTATATTGATACTCAAAATCTCCAAAAATGTTGTATGTATCTATCTTAATTCTAACATAGTTGTTATTGCAATAGTTATTTATAAAATAGAATATACTAAAGATTATCTAAGAGAATTAGCAATTTATCTTAAGATTTCATTTTTATATTACCATCTGCTATCCCATTTTGGATGTTTATTTAATCTAGATGTTTGAATAATGAAGAATATATAATTGAATCCAAATGATATCCAAAATACAATTTTTATAGATAAATAATCTTTTTTTAATTGTTGATATTTGGTATCTAACATAATATAAGGTTTTAATTATAGTAAGCAATTTAATTATAGTATAATTTGAAATACAAACAATGAAATTGATAAAAAGGCTAAATCATACAATCCTGATATTAAAAATCTAAAAATATATATATTTGGTATAATTACTTAATAATGAGAAATATGCCTATTCCATTTTCTAAAAGGGATAATAATGAAAAACAAATAGTTTTAGAAATACTAGAATAATTAAAAATCTTAATAATAACAGTATATAGGCAAATTAAAAATATTATTAAAAGAATACCAGGAAAATCATATTAAATTAATAGAACCTGTTCATCAATAATTGAATTGTTATTTTATTGGTTTTGAGTATTATTAGTTTAATTATTGTTATTTTAATCTGGTTAATAATTTTGAACAATACATTAATTTAAATAAAGATCTAAATCTTCCTCACATTCTAAACATATTTCTTTTTCTAAATATGCACAAGTAGTACACTTTCCAATTGAACAAGGGTAACATTTACCATTTAATCCATAATAATTTATAGGACATTCATCTATACAAGTAAAATTATATAAATATCCAACTAGGCAATTTAAACAAATATCATAATTATCACATTCAGCACAATCTTTTGAACAAGATAATGATATAGTTTACTTAAAATATCCTTACTATTATATTTCTCCTTTAAAATATGTTGTAAGTTTATAGGAGAATAAGTAAATATATTAATTTGGAATAGTAAAAAATCTGAATGGAATTTCTAAAAAATTATTACCTTCTAAATTGATACTAATAATTGAATTCTATTCTTATTTACAAGTATCACAATAAATTATAATATTACCATCATATTTTATTTAATCTACTTAAAATTATAATACAACTCTTAATAATGCTTCTTTCATTTACATAAATCTATTATCTATAATTAATATATTAGATATCTAAATTTTTTCAAATTCCCAATCATAAAATTAAGAATAGAAAATAGCTATTTAATCTTCATTTTTATCCTCTAAAATAAATTACCATTCTATTAATTAAGATTTAGTAGGATTTTAAGGTTATGAAATGAATAGACGTAAAACTTAATATTTTTTCATGAGTGGCAAATTAATTATTTCATTATTGCAATCAAAAGTATTTTGTTCAATATCCAAGAATTAACATTATGGTTTTTACTATAAAATCAAAGAAGATGGATAATGAATTTTCAATTTATCTGATTCATTAATATCACAAGGTAATTCAATATTAAATTACCATTAATTTAATTTACCTAATTCTCTAGTAATCATTTTTGGAACAATTTAATATTTATTTGGTTTAAATACTAATTTATATTCAATTTAACTTATTTAACATTAATTTTCATATGTTTAAATTTATAATTTTGAATCTTTAGTTGATCTAGGTGTTTCTATATTCTAAATAACATCATTATTTTATAATAATTCTATAACTGAAAAATTAATCTTTTTACAATTTTGACATTTGATTTAATTAATATTAATTGAATTCTCAAAATGAATTTATACCTTATATTAACTTTATAATGATATAGATAAATCAGATTTACTTAAAGTTAATTAATTGCTTAAAGATATTTATACATTCTTGATTAATTAATTTGATTATTGTATCATAACTACATCTTTATATAATTATTCTCTAAATTGATTACTTTAATAAGCCTATGATTCAAATCGACTAGTCTAACAAATAATTGATGGATTTTTAATCCAAAAAGTAAAATGAAATGATGATCCACTTAAATTTTAACTTTACCATGACATTAGATTTAATTCTTAGGGAAATTAGATATTAATTACACCATTTTAAATTGGGTTTTATAATTCAATATTTATATATAAATTTGTTTCTTCATCTAATATTTCAGTATCTCTACTTATTATAAAACTCTTATATTCATTTGGTTTAATTTAATAAATTATATCTCCTATTAAACTAGCACTAATCTTTTTAATTAAAAATTAAAATTTTATATCTTCTTTATATTCTATATTATAAAATTAGAATTCAACTTTTAATCTAAACTTTTCTAATAATTAATTATTAAATTCAGTTATCATAACAATTTTGTCATTCTAAATAAATGATTATTCTATATCATTAATTATTAATTTATCAATATGTAACATTTTTGATAAAGTTACCTACAAATCTGAATTTACAAGTATATATTTTTAAGAATCAAGCAATATTTTTAAAGTCGTATATTATGTAGCATAACTATTTGAGCTTACTAAAATTTATAATTGAAGTATACCTTAAACTATTCTTTCTATTTCAGATGGAGCATATGCACTAAAATTGAATTATCCTTCTGATAATTTGTTATTGCTGGAAAAAATTCTAAATTTAGCTGTATATACTTCTAAATTTGATGGAAAAGAAAAGTTATTTATAATAAATGAATGTTGACTTTCATTATAAAGGAATTCCACATTTTTATTGTAAACATATATACTATTATCTTTAGATTGGCAAAATTGTCCATTTGATAGACCTATAAAATCTGAGCAATAAATAAAACGACTTGTATATACTGGAAATTCTAATTAAAAATATAAATCCTTGAACATTATAGGTCTCTATTCAATTTAAAAAAAATCATATTCAAATGACAATTAAAGAAAAGATTTTTCAAATGTGACACCATTCCCTTAAACTTAAGATTTTAATGAATTATCCTTTATTTCCAAGACTAAAAACATATTTATAGTTTTTATTCCATTTATAATGACAATCTTAATTATTTTATTTCCAGGAGTTGATGGATTTTTTATTTATGTAAGGTATAACATAAAATATTAAATTTATTAATCATCCTTATTATAAATTATTTTAGGAGGTTGAATATCTATTGGATAATAACAATCAGCTTTGAAACCTGAATTACTCATATCAAATTCACTAAAAGTTATTGATATCAGTTTTGTAATTTTTGTAATATATGAACCTTTTAAAGTTATCTTCAATATAATTTCATTGTAGAGATTAATATTTTCAACTTTATAAGTAATTTAAACATCTAAATCTGTTTCGCTCTTGTTCAATTCAAATGAAGTTACTTTAAAGATAAGAAGTGATAGTAATACTAATACTACTTTTTATAGCATTTTAAATATTAAGATTATGATTGTTAGAATACTTAATCTGATATTTTCAACTATATGATTTTCGAAATTTTCCACTAAAAAATTACTTTTTTCACTAAATTAATATTATATATAATATTAATTTATTTTATATACTAAAAATTCTTAAATTGATATTCTATATTAAATTATGTGTTTTAATTAAGTATTATACTTTATATAAATCATTAATATGAATATTATTTGTCTAATCAAGTTAAATTATGAAAATAATATAATTATTAAAATTATTATATATATGCACTCCAAATTTTAGAAAGAAATATTACAATTTTATAGATCAGTAATTAAGTGGGTCAATCTTAAGCCAGAGCCACCAAAATCATCTATAAAATAATATGTTTTTAATGAATATAGATAGAATTAAAGTATTCCTAAAAAGAAATATGATAGAGTACCTTTTAATAATTAATATCTAGATTGAATTTCTATTTAGATAAGGAAAGAATAAATATGAAATATGTAAGGTATATAATTTTAATATCATAAAGATGCAAAAATTGACTCAATATAAATAAAATGATTTACAGTAAAAATTTATAAAATTTTCAAGGCTTGCTTTTGTTTATTTTTTCTTAGAATTAACAAGGCTTTTCACATTCTGTATGTATACAATGATGACGTATTACAATTTGCTTACAACATTTGCATTCTTTTTCCTTTGACTCTCTTCGTTTCCTTAATTTTCCATTTTAAGAATCTGATTAACTATCTAATACAAAGTCATCTTCCTTAGACATTAAATCATCTAAATTAACTTAAACTGGTAAGTCAGCTATAAAATAGAATTATATTTATGTTATACGTGAATTCTTAACTTTGATAACATCTAAAAGTTTTGTAATTTAATCATTAGGTAATCTTTCAAAAATTTTGATTAAATCATCACTCATTTTTCTTGATATTTTTATTTATCCTCTTTCATCATTTAACTTAACTTTCTTTTCTATTTAGTCATTTTCGCTTTAACTACTATTTTCTTGTATCTTTTTATTCTGTTTCCTTAATTTATAAATAACTCTTACTTATTATCCAATCCAGAAGACTTAGAATAACACTCAGAAGATTCAGAATTCTAACACATATTTTTCTAATATAATATTAATAATTAAATAATTCATATTTCTTTTGCATTATTAATTTAATAGTTGAATAAATAACTAATCTCTAATATCAATAATATTCATCATTTAAATCTTAGATCTAAATTTTATCTTCTCATAATTTCATAATTATTCTTATTAACAAATTGTTCTGTTTTCTTATTACAAATAAATTAAATAAAAAAAATAAATATTATATTTAAGTATTATCAATAAATGAAATCTAAAATAAATCTAATTTTTCTGAATTTATTTGTTGATTTTAATTAAATTATTTAATTCTAAAGAGGATAATAAAGAAAACTATAAAACTATCCTATTACTTAACCTAACAAAAGAAAATTCTTAGTATTTTTAATTAAATATTGAAATTACTAAGTATATTTGAAATATATGAAATAGAGAGTTACTTTCTATGTCAATCTAATAGGCTATGAATTAAAAAAGAGTAATAAAATTAAAATAATAAATTAGATATTAAAAATTCCTTTTTCACTTAATTTATCACTTTATTTTATAAGTGTTTAGTTTTTAACGATAATAATAATTTATTTAATATTAACAGAATGATCATCGAAAATCATAGATGTTTTGGAAAGGAAATAGCAAATTCAACTTTGTTTTAATCTAAAGAAATAGGAATGATTGTGGAAAAACATAAAAAACCTTTTTCCATAATTCCAAAAGTTTTTGCAATAAGTTTGGATGATAAAGAAAATAAACTTTTTAAAAGAGAATCAGAAAAATTATCAATTGAAATAGAAACTGATAAGAATAAGGATATTTAAAATCCTTAAAATGTAGAGTTATATTCAAATGAAATTTTACAACACCTTCTGATTGAGGAAGTAATAATTTTAGACTATTTAAGAATAAATATATAATAAATTAGTATATGACACCAGAGTAATAGCCAGATATAAATATAAAAATGAGAGCCATTCTAATTGATTGGCTAATTGATGTTCACGCTAAATTTAAGTTGCAAGATGAAACACTTTACATTACAATATCATTGATTGATAGATATTTGTCTTTGGCTTAAGTCACAAGAATGAGATTGTAATTAGTAGGTGTGGCTGCCTTATTTATAGCTTGTAAATATGAAGAAATCTATCCTCCTGCATTAAAGGATTTCGTTTACATAACAGATAATGCATATGTCAAAAGTGATGTTTTAGAAATGGAAGGTTTAATGTTATAGGCTTTAAATTTTAATATATGCAATCCAACTGCTTATTAATTTTTACAAAAATACTCAACAGACTTAGATCCAAAAGATAAAGCGTTAGCTTAATATATCCTGGAATTGTCTTTAGTTGAATATAAATTTACTATATACAAACCATCTTAAATAGCTCAATCTGTTATATTTTTAGTTAATAAGATAAGGTATTATTTTATAATTTATCATAGAACTCCAACTTATAAAACATAGAATGAAAATTATTTAAAGCCTTGTGCTAAATAATTATGTACTTTACTTTAAATTGCAGATCAAAGCTCCTTATAAGCAGTAAGGAAAAAATTTAATGCTTCTAAATTTTTTGAAATTTCGAGAATTAAAGTAGAAAAAATAAACAAATGATTTTAGTTTTAATTGTCTTGTTTCTTTGACATTCACTCAATATTTACATTTTAGTTTAAAATTAATTATAAATACTCTCATTATAAAAACATTTAATAAATTTCAAGTAAACAAATATAATATAGAAATCTTATTAGATATATACTCTAATTAATTATTTTATACTATTGAATTAATAGTAAAAAATCTAGAATTTTAGTGAATATTAGTTGGATTACAAATAAATAATTCATAATTAAGTGTTCCAAATATCATATTAATCGTTTTATTGTAGATCTAATTAGAAATATAAAAATAAGTAGATTATTATTAAAAGAATTTTAGTAATCAGTGCTTCAATTAATTATTCCTCTTATCAATTAGCTAAATAGATAAGAGATAAAGTCTTCCATCAATAACAACTATAAAAAGACATTTTTAGAGTGATATATCATTATTATTTGATGATTTTTCAATTTGTCATTTGAATTATTGAATTATCACATTTAATATTAAGTATATATAGTTTAGTAAATGATATATCCAAAAATAAAATATAAACAATATAAAGATATATTCTAGTATCTATAATAAATTGAATAAAGTATTATCAATATTTTTAGAGTTAATAATAACTTAACCTTAATTTAATTTAATATATTAATATTATTATTCTTTATATAATTTGGTTATTATTAAACAAATGATATTGAATATATTTAATAAAAAGATGAATCTCATCTTCCTGACCATGATGCAACTTATTTCTTGAATATGATGATGACTTATTCAATAATAGCGTTTTCTTCATCTCTTTTAGCCTTTGCTTCAGCATAGTCTGCTCTCTTGTTTTCTAAATCTGATTAAGCTTAATCTAAAGCATCTTATGACTCTTAGAGAATTATCTTTGATTTAGCTTATTAAGCTAAGGCAGCTTGAATTTACTAAAGAAATATTAATTATAGTTCTTACAGTTGCCAATCTGTCAGCATAAACTTATTTTCTTTCATATTCAACTTTGAGATTTGCAGCTTCAGCTTCACTCAAAGATACCCATCCTGCTAATTCCCATGATGCATTAATTTCATTAACTTCAAGAGCTTCAAGTGAGGCTTAAAGATTAGCTTCAAGTGATTCTAATACAGATAAAACTCTTTCAGCTAATGTTGCTCCTCTACTTACAGAACCATCTTCTTATTTGTTGGCCAATTAGAGGAATGATTTTAATTCTTATTCTTAGAATGTATTACTGTATTGCTTCAATTTATCAGCAACACTGTTAACTTAAACTAATTCAAAAGAATCTCCATTAATAATATATCCTGCAACATCTTATTTAAGTACTCTGACAACTTCAAGTGCTTCTCTATTTTATTTGATTGATCTAACAAATAATTGATTGCTGAGACATTATTCATCAAGAAGAACTTAAATCTTTCTAGCAATTTCATCTTATCTTTATTCATTCCAAGCAAGGTAATTTTTGGTGTCTTGGAGTTCTTATTCAAATTATGCTCTATTTTCAATTGATTGTTAAAATAATTTTTAGTTGAGACTCTTAATTTTAGTGAATTGTTCAATTGTTCTAAAATTAATTAAAAAATTACTATGCTCCAACCCATTCATCTGTTTCATTCTTTTAATCAGCAGCAAATTAAGCATCCTTATTAGATTAAATCAAATCATTAAGTAATCCAAATACAGTATCAATGGCATCACTTGCCTTTGTTCCTGTCTAGAGAAGGGCAAGGATTTGATCTTTAGTTGATGTTGCTGATGCCAATGTGACCAACAATACAAGGGCGATTGCCAATTTCATTATTTTATTAATATACTCATAAAAACGGGTAATTCAATTAAATATCAATCCAAAAATATAAATAATTAGTATAAATTAAAATACAACTTAATATTCACATATTTAAGCAATCCTAATAGAGTAACTTCAAATTATAGGTATAAATTATTAATTTTATTATGACATTATCAAAAATTCAATTATTCTATATAGATAATTGAATAAACATTAAAGAAATGAATGTAATTATTGAATCATAGTAAATAATAATATTAGAACCATTAAAAATAAGTTGATTTATGATCTTAATAGGGAGTATTTAACTTATTTAATGAGAAGAATAGTTTTGGTTAGAATAATAATAAAAAATAATCAAGAATTAATGATAGAAAATATGATTATAAATTAATTTATTTTTTTATTTTATATTATTAATATAGGTTATTAGTCATTAATCAACTATCTAAAATTTTATTCTTTTGTATATTTATAAATATTATAATATTAATTATAAAATATTAAGATGAATTCAATTCAATAAGAGATAACTATGATTCCTACAAAGATATTTAAGAATGCATAATGGATTTCAAAATCATTAAGTGTAAACAAACGAAAAAGTCCAAATTATCCATGTAAAAGATGGGGACATACAGCTGTGTTACACGATAAATATATGTATGTATTCAGTGGTTGTGGTAAATCTGATAATCCCAGATAGTGGGAACAAATATACAGAATGGATTGTATAACATTTTAATGGGAAAGATTGAATTCTCCATCTTAAAACCATCCTCCAGGTAGAGATTCTCATTGTTGTGTATGTTTGTAAAATAAACTTTATTTTTTTGGGGGATCTAGTAATGAATTAATTCTTGGGGATTTTTGGAGCTTTGATATTGAAACTTCTGAATGGACAGAAATATAAGTACCAAAAGATATGGAAGCAAGAGAAGGACATTCTATGGTAGCTTTATCATCAAGATTGATATATATATATGGTGGATGGGATTAAGTATAAAATATAATGACAGAATCACATTGGCTATATGATATCAAAACAAACAAATTTTAATAAGTAACACATTTTACAGGGGATGAGATGATAAAATTAGAAAGTCATACTGCTAATAAAATAGGAGATAGTGTTTATATTTTTGGAGGTTAAGGTCAGTAGTCGAATAAACAATTAGTATTTCATAAAGATTTGTACAAATTAGATTTTGAAAATATGAATGATTTGCATTAAAAATTTGATTAATTAGAATCAGGAGATGATAAGGGTTAGAATATTGAAAATAATACAGTTATAAAGATTGAGAAGATTAAGGCAAATGGATCTCAATAGCCTACTCCTAGAGCTTCTCATTCTGCAGTTACTTATGGAGAGAGATTCTTATTTATAATTGGAGGAGAAGGGTATAAATGAATAATAATCAAATTTAGATATTAATATGATTAATAAAAGGATAATGAAGAGGAAGCAATTGAATAGGATTAGGATGATGATTAAAATATTGATGAAGAAGAAAAGCCAATATTTCCAAAAAATGATATTTGGATATTTGAAACAGTAATGAGAGTATGTAATTAAATTAAATTTATAGACATGGAGTAAATTATAACCAAAATCTAAGACTCCAGTATTCTAACCTAGATTTTCACATAGTTGTATTGTTTATAAGGATTAGTTTATAATTTTTGGTGGATTGAGAAGTATGGGAGAAGTATTAGAAGATATAATGGTATTGCATTTAAAGGATAGTGAAAATAATATATAGAAATATTAAAGGGATGAGATGAAAAATGTATGTAAATATTGCTAATTGATATATGGTATTCAATAAGAAGAAGAAATATCATTTCATAAAACAATTGAAAATAATGCAATAAAATTACCTAAATTATCTTTAACATTTGTAGATGAGTAATATTAATTTAATAAATTTTATAGAATTTCTAAATTGATTTATTGTCCAATGTCTTGTTTTGGTCTCTTTTTGGATAATGTAAAATTATCAGAAGCTTCAGAAGTTAATTTTGAATATGTGTTTTTATAAAGAAAGAAGAAATATTAAAATACTATTGATGAAATTAGAGATAAAATACCAGTATTGATAATTTTTGAGAAAGATCCTAGAGAATTAGATGATTTAAATGATTTCTTATTTAATTTTGATATTTCTAAAAGGAAAAATAAAGTAATTAATTAAGATATAGATTTGAAAAATGAAAGTGAATAAAATTAAGTTTATGAGGAATAGCAATTACTAAATAAGAAGTAATATGCATTAAATTTTAAAATTGCATCATTACGATTAGGAGATAGTGTGTTAATTTGTCATAAATCTTAGAATAATTATTATGTTGGATTAATATCAATGAATGATTAATTAAATCCTAATGATGAGACATTGACTTTCTATAATTATACAATTACTATTGCAAATGGAACTGAAAGAAAGATTGATTCACCAGAAAGTAAATATGTATTATTAAATGCAATTACTCATTTAATAAATGAAGAAGATTTTATATTAAATTGCAATTATAATTATACTAAAATATTCATTTTTGATTTAGCTAGAATACATGCTTTATAAAAGATATTTGAACTTCATTTATATAATGATGATATAATCTCGAATTAATTATTAGCATATTAATTAAAAAAAGATGATGCAATCAAATATCCAGATTTCTCTTTAAAGGAGTATCTTAAATATTATTCATTGGAACATTTACCATTTAAAATAACTGTATAGAATTAATTAATTAATACAAATGTTAATGTGATAAGTAGAATTGATAATAAAAATAAGATATCTATAACAAATGAAAAAATACTTATAAAATTAAATGAATGGGCAGAATCATATTAATTAAGTAGATTAACATAAAATAATTTTGGAATACTTCTTTATTATTAAGGAAGATTGATCAATAGATATAGAAAATAATTGGGAGTCTATCCAAGTAATTTAGAACAAAGTGGATATATAAATATATCAAAGATTGTTAAACCTAATATGACATTTGAAGTAAGTATTTAAATATATTGTAGGGATTTAAAAATTCATACTTAAGTTCTATATTACTATAAACTCTGGAAACATTAGAAGAGGAATGTGAACCAGAGAGAAGAAAGGAAATTAAAATTTGATGTTATTGTCTATATATCATAATATATAATATTAAATAATACTGTTATGAAATGAGAGTTAAATAGTAAACAGAATTACATTTTAATATACTATATCTATTGATTAATGAAATTAAAGTGTCAAGTAAAAGTTTTAAAATTTGATATAATAGATATTAGAATTTAGCAAAATTTCAATAGTTTTATCCAATTAAATTACGTAATACAAAGATTTGATTATTTTAGAAATACACATTATCAAGGCAATTTAATTTTTTGTTTGTTATGAACTCACGTGAATAACAAATTATAAATGATGATGTAGTCATATCTTCTGATGAAGAGGAACAGATTTCAATGATTATTGAACATGATCCCACAGGTCGATTCTGTAAAGTATTTATAAACTTTTATATTTTAGTATAATGAAGAAATTGGTAAAGGAGCTTACAAAAATGTATATAGAGGTTATGATAATGAAAGTGGATGTGAAGTTGCATGGAATGTGTTTTAATTAACGAATGTGTCTGAGAGTATTAAATTGAAAATAATAAGATGAGAGAAGAAGAGCAAAATAAGAAATTGCAATTTTGAAAAGTCTACAACACAATAATATTATTCGTTTTATACATTCTTGGTAAAGTAAATCAAAGAAAGAAATAGTTTTTATTACTGAAATTGTTAATGGAGGTTCATTGAAAAGGTAATCTTATAATAAAATTATATAGTTATATAAGAAGAATAAAAAGACCTAAATTAAAGGTAATACGCTATTGGTGTAAACAGATTTTAGAAGGAATAGAATTCATGCATTCTTAAAATATTATACATAGAGATTTGAAATGTGAAAACATTTTCATTGATACCAATAATAACGAATTAAAAATTGGGGATCTGGGATTGTCTATTTAGTAAATAAACTTTATTAAATAAGAGAATGTAATCTCACTATACAAGTTCCGTTTTAGGCACTCCAGAATTTATGGCACCTGAAATATATCAAGGTAATTATAATACAAAAGTGGATATTTATGCATTTGGATTATGTGTTTTAGAAATGGTAACTGGCTTAAAGCCTTTTAGTGAATGCAAAGGAGGCACAGGTTAAATAATCAAAAAAGTAATGGAATCTTAAAAACCTTAAAGTATAGAAGCCATTTTAAATGAAAAAATAAAAACAATCATTTTTGAGTATAAATTTAAATTATATATAAAGATGTCTCAAACCTCCAGATCAAAGACCTACAGCTACTTAATTATTGAATTAATACTTTTAATCTACTTTTTTAGATGATGATAATTTACCTGTCCCCATCAATGAATCTTTGCTTATTTAAATTACAAATGATAGCAAAAGTATACAATCTAAAATATATTTAAGATTCCTCTGTTTTAAAATGTATTCCATCTAAAAATATAAGTGAATAGAAAGGAACTAATAACTAAATTCTAGTTATTAATTAATCTTATAAACTTAATTCTAATAATATCCTTTAAGAAATTAATCCTAATTCAATGAAATAAAGTGAAGTTAAATTCAATAAATTAAGTATTGATACTAATGATGATTATTCAGTTGAATAATAATTTACTAAGTAGTATAGAGAATATTATGTAAAATTAAATATTATAAAAGTTAACTTAAAATGATGAAACTTTATAAGATCTTGAATAAAGATAAGAGAAGGAACTTTAACTACTTATGAATATTCATAAATAATAGAAAATTGAACTTTAGAATAAATAATCTTTAATTAATAGAGTACCTGTCATTCCTTATGGATCAGGATTCTTATCACCAAAATCATTTTTTACATTATTTGAATATAACAGCAACGATTTTTAACATTAATAAATATCATAATAATAATAATTGTAATCGCATTTTGCTTTGAAAAAATAAGATACATTTAGTTAAGATGAAGATGGGGTTAAAAGAAATGAATTAAAAAATGATACTATCAGTACTAATCAATCGGTATTTTATATAACAATTTATTTAGCAACAATAATGTAAATTTAATACAGACGTTGCGTTGTAATCAAAGTCATAAAGTATTCGACCAATTATATAAAGTTGAATATTAACATAACTTTTAATGTTAATAGTGATTAATATTTATTATTATTAATTTGAGTGAGTTTGTTTCTAGAGAGGATTAATCTTAGATTATAAAAATTATTTGAGAATAATAAATAGTGAATTAATTTATAAATAGAAACATTAACATCATCCTTATGTTTTATCACTATTTTAAAATGTTTGATTATATTATTATTATTATTAAGGATAACAAGCAACATGATAATTGAATCCTGCAAGATAATTAGGTACTTATTAAAAATTATGAGTATTCAAATTTGGTGGAAAATTTAAGACTGATCTTTAATTTACATTTTAAGTTGTTCCTTAATACTATTACTAATAATTATTAAATGGAAAAAATGGAAAGTAAGAATTAATACTATTTTGATTCTCTGGTATTTAATTTTATTATATAGGATCTTCAACATTTTAGTTTAATAATATATTACTTAAGATATTATTATAACTAGGTAGACTAGGATTACTTAAATGTCCATATAATCCTTAATTTAATAGATTATCTTTATTCAAATTTGGTTATGACTAATTTTTGAAGAATAAATTAATTTGTTCTTAAGTTGCAAAATAGATTCTATTTTTTTCTTTATTAATTAAACATGATTATAATTATTAAGATTCTTCTGATGAAATTTAAGTAAAATCCATAATTTATAATGTTAAGATATTTAATTATGATTTATTATTAATATTTTCATATTGTTTATCATGATTATTAATATTTTAATCACTTTAATTATTATTATCCTTATTTTATATAGGAATTTCATCATTATTTTTTAATGGATCTTCTTATTGTTATTATTATTTGATATGTTTGGGATAACGATTTGAAGAAATCTTTTTTGAATGTTAATCAAAATCTTCTTATTTAACATCATAAGGATCACCACCATCTTAATTCATTCTCCATTCAATTTTTTTAATAATTGAATTTATACATCTTTATTCTTCTAAACTTAATTCTTCAACAGAAGGATCAGATAATATAGAATCTTATACATCATAATTATAATTGCTTTCTTAATTTGAAGATGTTTAAACTTTATTGTTTTTTTCTTTTCTCATTAGACAATTAAATCTATTTTTTACATTATTTTCACTTCTTTACAGTTTTAACTATTTTGAAATTTAAGCCCATTTTTTTCCATTTAAAATGGCCAATTTCATAAGCTCTAAATCTTCAGATAATTACCATGGTTTTCTTAATATTAATTATATAATTACCTATTAATAGTTGGATTTAAATGATTATTCCATCTTTCTCTACACTGTTTCCCATTTCTATGTACACTTGAATCTGTACGTTTGTTGAGAGATGTGGCTATCTAACTCCATTTGTTTCCTTTATTTAATTTCTAATATTCTTGAATAATTAATAGAAGTGCATCATCTTCATGTCTAGTCCATGGAGCCTATTGTAAAGGTAGTCTTAACATTTATAGCCACTTCTATTTACAATGAAAGGCCTCTCTTCTCTACATCATGGAAGATATGTTGATCCAATCAGATTCACTCTATAAAATTCATATGAATCAATTCAATACAATCTATTTAAAATCTCGTTTATGAAAGGCTAAATATTTTCCAACCAACCAAATTAATACTTTTTTATCATCATCAGTCCAGTTCTTCTTGAATTTATTTGCACCTTACTGGATACTTGCTTAGTTGTTCTTTTGAATGTTCAGAATTTCATAGTTATCAGGAAATTATTCTAAGCCAAGATTATATAGCTCTTTCATATAGGTGAATCTCACATTGGTAATGTCTTTAACTTTATCGAAAAAATCTTTAAATTTAGTGAAGAAATCATCCATTATTCAATTCTCAGAAATTATAAAATAATCCAATTAAAAACTACCCCATTAACAATATATTGTCTAAGTATATTATTAATAAATTGTTTTTAATTTTATATGAAATAAGGTTATTGGATTTAAGGATGGAGTGATTTAGTAGCAAATTTAAAAGTGACCTAAAATTGTATAGATTTGGTTGATGTTCAAGGAAATGGCTAATATAATTTAGTGGTTGCAGATTAAAATTAAAGACTAGTTTCATATAGGAATACAAATATTGCTTGGGAAACTAGATTGACAGATAAACCAGTTTGTATGACATATTTCTATGGTGACACATCAGGTTAACCTTGCATTAGTATATGTTATGGAAATACCATATATAACTATAAGATTTTCAAAGCCTTTTATAAATGTCAAATTCCCAATATTCAATTGAAACAAGAAGAATCAGATATTTGGAAATAATATTAGAGTGATAGAAATATGCAAAACCTTATTAAGGATTTAAGTAATTTACAATAATAACATTCAAATTTATCATACAAGTCTTTGGAATTATTATGTTTTTATGATTTGTAAAAATAATAAGAATTAGCAGAAAAATATTGTGATAATCTTCATATTGAAGACTCAATTACTTGTGTAAGTGTATTTAAGAAAAATGCAGATGAGGATAAATCATAAGGATAATTAATTGTAGGAACAGAATTGAAATTCATATACATATATAATTAAGAAATAACATAAATTTAAAAAAAAGTAAATATATATTAAAATAATATAGTATGAAATACCTGGAGTTCCTATTTCAATTTGTATATTTTCAGAAGAACAAAAAGATGGTAGAATTGCAATATTAGTAAGAGAGAATTGTATTTATTTTATTGGAAATGATATTGAAGCATATACTATAGATTTATAATCAAAACCAATTACTATGATAAGATAATAACGATGTTTGTATATAGCAACTATGGATAGGGTTGTCTAAAATTATTAACATAAATAAAAATAATATTAATTATTGATGTAACATAATATCTTAGCTATTGAAACTGTAACTATAGGTAAAGGACATGAAACTAAAGGTTTACTTGTTGCATTAGAAAACAAAACTATATAATTCTATAAGGATACTTAATTAATGTCTATTATTAATTTGGAAGTAAAGATTAATTTATTAATTTAGAGTAATGTTTCAGTTATGAAATTTGGATACTTTGGAGTTAGTTAAGATGGTTTTCTTATTACTATTAATATAAAAGGAGCATTAGAAACAAGAACTTTATCTAGAGAATTTGAAAGGAAGAAATAGGCAATATTAGAAAAAGAAATTATAAAACCAATTGAATTTCCACCAATTACAAATTTATTTATTGAATAATTTTAAAGAGAGAGAGAGTAAGGTTCTGAAATGTTAAGAACATATTAATATGATTTATTAAGAATGAGATATAAAACTGCTTAAACTTATTTGAATATATTGTCTAATAATGAATAGGCTCCTCAATTAAATTAGAATAATCCTTTGAGGCTTTCTGCTATAGTTGAAGGATTAGGACCAAAATTTAAATTATGTTGTGTTGTTGAAAATATTAGTAATCAACCAATCAAAGATATTTATATTAATTATGTATACAATTCAGATATTTATTAACCATTTTAATTAATAAATTAATTACCATTTTTAATACCAAAATATTAAAAAAACTTTGATTGTTATTTTACAAATATTCATTAAAATGGTATAAGTGATAAAATTAAAATAATTTTGTATAGGGAATCAAAATAATTAATTTAAACTACAATTTAGATGCCAATGAGTGAATTAGAATGAAATAATAACCACAACTAGTTTATGAAAAATAATTATTATTAAATTTCAATTAGATTATTTTTATTAAAAAGATTTAATAATGTATATTATTTTAATAATACATATATAGATCTTATTGTAAAGTAAGAATATAAATATTCAAAATTTTAATAATATTTCTTTAATAATTAATTATAATTATAATTCATCTTCTTTTTTTATTACCTCCCTTTCTAGTTGGAATCTCTGAGTCACTTGATTATTTTCTCTTTTTTTTGACTCCATCATCTGAATCAGATTCACCTATTGAAATATGAATATATTAATTTACCTTAGTAATTTTCTTCAGCTTGAACTTATTCTTTTTATTTTTATCCTTAAATTATGATTCCTTATTTCTTTAATTCTTTAACTAAATTATTTGCATCTTCTCTTTATAATTCAAAATCTTTCATTATTGCATCTCTAAGAACTTGTCCTTCATCTTAGGCTTGTAATCCAACTTCCTCTTGTAAAACCTTCAAAAAATTGTTCTCATTTTTAACATCAGCATTAGCCTTTTCTAATCTTTCTATACATTATTCTAAACTAATTATTAAGCTTTAATAAAATGATTATTTAGGTTTCAATTTATTATTATCATCTTCCTTAATATCATACATCTCTAAAAAGTCTGCTTATTTTGTAACTTAAGTGATGACCTTTTAAAGTATAATATTATTATGATCACTGACTAATTTACACAAATACATAATAAACCTTTCTTGGGGTCCAATAAAGTCAGATTCAAAAGATCTAGATTCTAAAATATCTTTAAATTCAGCCAAAGATGGATTAGATTTTTAACCATTTATTTTATAGCTCATCATTTTTATACCTGCACTTGCTGCTTATATTAATGAGTTTTCTTGCCATTATTATGTATCAAAGAGATCAGGATTCAAAATTTAATCTTTCACATAATGCAAATAGCAACAAATACTAAAGTATAATTCCAATCCCTTTTCAAATATTCTTAAAAATTGTAAAGAAGATGTAATATAAAGTTTAAGAAAACTAGTGACAATTTACAAAGGTAATTATTGAGAACGTAATTTAACATCAAACCACAAAAATAAAAATTAAGCTATCCAAACTTAGGGTTTCAAAATTTTATCATGAATTAATAATTTACATAATCCTTCTAATGCTATAGCTTAAATTACTCCTTCTGATTTGAAGGCAAATTTCATAATAATTGATAAAATCTTTTATTTTCCATATGTTTCTGAATCAATAACCCATGCCTAATCATCATCATACATTAATAATGCATCCAAAATACTTCTTAAAGCTGTTATAGTCATAGGATTATCATTATTTTTTTAAGTAGGAATAGATTAATCCAAAATTCTGGCTAATGTTGCAATAGTAGATCCTCCAACATCAATACCAAATAATGGAATATATCCTAAACATCTAAAACTCAATTTCTTTGCTAAACAATCATCTCCACTTTTATATTTCTCACTTATTGTTGTAATGATAGTTTTTAATCTAATAAATATTCTATCTTCTATTTTAGCTATATCAAATTAATTAAACAAAGCATCCAATAAATATAAACAATGAATATCAATATTTTTATTATGTTATTTCATTTTATCCAATTCATTTAGTGTTTGTTACATTGCCTTTTCATTTTATTCTAAAAGTTATTCATTTAATTATAAGGATTAAACATTTTGCTTCTTCTTTTTAATTAAAGCTTCCTTTTCTTATTCTAAATTTTATCTTTCTTCTTTTCTAACTTACAATGTTTATTCTAATTATTAAATATTTTCAACAATAATCTATTTTTATAGATCTTATATCACTTTAAATACTTATTCTGCCATTTAATCTTAGGAAGATACTAAAAGTTTAATTACTTTTATTGATGGAATCATTAATTCATAATAACTTTTTATTATAGGCATTTCAAAATGATGTTATGCAAACCATCTACTCTCTAATTCTTAATCACTTCTATCTTCATATATCTCATTAAACTTTTAGTTATGTAATCTTTAACATTCTAATTTTTTATACTTGCTTATAAATTAAACCATTTTATCTAAAAGCTTTGTTCTTCCTATCTCTTCTTAATTTATAAGTAATTATGCTAATTATAATAATTCATAATATTGCAATAAATCTAAGTCTTAATTAAAAATTTCAGCAAATTATGTTCCTTCTGGGAAATTATGATCTACTATTAAATTCATTTATTATTATAATTATGTTTTCTATTCTTAATTTTAAGACATCTAACATAAAACTTTAATAAAAGACATTTCTGGTCCACTTGTTTAATTACTTAAATTTCTTAATGCATCCCTAAAATAAGTTGATAATTCATCTTAATGAGCAGATTTTAAGATTGCTTTCAATCCATCTAATATTGTGGAATATAATTAAGGAAATATTAAAGTTTTATCAATTTAAAATAAATTTAAAAATCTCTTTACAGCTTCATTAATATGATTTACTTATTCAACATTCATTGATTTTCTAGCTGATTTTTATTTTGAATCCTCTTATATTATTGAATCATCTTAAATTATCTTACCAAATGATTATTGTAAAAATAATTCACATTATTCTACTACTTTTTAACTACTGTTTTTTAAACCATCATATATTACTTAATATAAATCTAATGTTGTTAATTATGATATAGAAAAATGATTTTTCATAAGTTTTTTAAAAACTTAAAGTCTCACATCTACATCAGTATCTCTAATTCTAATTATTATAAATGGAAGAGTTGAATCATTTAATTCTGTATTTGTTAATGCATCTAATCTCAACTCTTTTTTATCATCTTCACAAATTGTTCTAACCATTTCATATTTCAATGCTACTATTGCTTATTTTAATTTATTTTATTTTCTTTCCTCAAAAGCAATATGTTATAAATAAGAACCCAATTTTACAGCCAAACCTTTTTATGTTTTCCCTGTCTTTTATAATTTTGTATTCTTGAATAAACCTACTGTGTGATTGAGCATGTCATATGCAGTTTTCTCATCCACCAACTAATTCAATAACTAAGGTGGAATACATCTTAAGATCATAAACAGATGTCTTCCACAACATATTCTTGTTGCAAAATTTTAAGAGTCTAAACCTTCTGCAAACAATTACATTAAATAGAGAAGGAAGCTATAATACTATTAATTCAATAAACCTTCTAGTGTTATCTGTGCTAATTTATTTTCGAGTCTTTTGGGCGGGAAGTGTAGATTCATTCCATTTTTTTATCATAAATGTAACAAATTTTTCAGTAACATTTTCAAATAACTTTCTATGTTGTTTAGATGTCCCATTAAAGTTCTTTATTATTTTTAAATAACAACATTCTAATTATTTGGTGAACTATCTAAAATTTATAAATTCAAATTATTACTATGTGTCTCCTAAAAAACTCACATGCATATTATGGATGTGCTGTTATGTAACATTCCCACAATCAGCAACATCATTCAGAATTGAATATACATCCATTTATTTTAAATTTAATATATATTTTTTAATCATAAACCAAAATATCACTCATATATATTAACTAATTATTATATAACATTTCTTATATTTCAACTTTTGATTTTAAATATTTTTGTATTTATTTGTATCTCATCATCAACTCAATGAAATTCTTTATTAAAATAGCTAACAAATCACTTTATTCATTAAATTCTTATGATCATAGATTATCTAAGATTTTATTTATACAATCATTCCATATGTAAAAATAACACTTTTAATAAGATCTCTATAAATATTTGAATAATATTCAATCTAACAACAATCTTATATCTCTATTCTTTAAAATAATGATATTATCTTCTATAATTAATCATTATACTTTTAAGTTAACTAAATTTAATTATATATTAAAGAGGAAAATTTTTATCTTGATAAATCCATATTCACAAATTTTTCTCGAAATTCTATTTTTAATCATTTTAATGATTAAGGAATTATGAAGTTAATAATCCTCAATAGACTCAACATTGAAGAATTTTTATATATATAAGTATAAAATGTTGAAAATGTTATTCAAATTATAATTAAAGTTACTTAATTATATTCCCATTATGCATATTGCAGATAAAATGAGAATAATTGAATAATTACTAAAATTTTTCTATCAATATCTAAACGGAAGTATTGAAAATTCTATTTTGAATGAAAAACCTTCTTTGAAAAATAAATATGAACAAATTACTTTGAAATCAGTTTATTTAACGAAATTCTAATTGAATTCAATTAATATTAGAAAATAATAAAAATATTCCACTTTTTTATAAATCCCTAAAATTAGTGAAAGTTTTGGTATTTAATTTAATAAAGTTTGTTCATATTATTTATTAATTTACTTTAAAAATAATGAGATATTTGATTTTATTTGCTATTATAATGCTAGCCTTAACAGAAGATATTAAGTGTCCAGTTGACATTGATACAACTGTTTCATGTACAAAAGAATACAAACCTGTTTGTGGTTATTCTTCTGAAGATTATGTAAATATTTCTTTAAATTTTAAGCAACAAGGAACCTTCGAGAATTCTTGTTTTGCCTGTAGAACAAAAAATGTAATTTACTACAAACCAGAACCTTGTCTAGTTTATAGTGTCCCTCCTGATACATCTACTTCAACTAATACTAACAGTAATTCTTCAACTGTTAGTTCAACAAATTCAATTTACAAATGTGATGCACCAAAAGTTGAGAATCCAATTTGTCCTGAATTGTATATATCTTATAAAATATTATTAGTTACAAATAGACTTGTGGTTTGTTTAATAACAACATTTAATGTATCAAAGCTCCATGTGGACAAGTATTTAGTAATGAATGCTTTGCTTGTGCAAATGCCAATGTAGATACATATTTTTTTGGAGATTGTAATGAATTACCAAAAGAGTATCTATTAATTATATCCAATTTTTAGAGAACCCAACTAACCTTCTGAGAGTGATTATATCAAGTGTTCAGAACCAAGACCTGAAATGTGTACTTTACTGTATTCAGACACTTGTGCTTTTACTGAATTCCCATGTTATTCAGACTCATGTATGAAACTTACTGGAAGTGGTTGCTAGGCCTGCTCAGATAAAAGTGTTGTGGGTTATGTATAATAGGCTTGCTCAAAATATTAGTATATATTACATTAAAGCTTTAGATTAATATATCAATCCAATATGGCTGATGATCAAGGTAAAGAAACTAGTGATTTAACTAATGATGATACTTAATATTAATGCAGTTTGAATAGACCAACTAGTTGTGATGATGTCGTTAATGAGGTTTGTGCTTCCTAAAAATGCAATGATACAATTTGCAAAAAAGAATATTCAAATGAATGCTAAGCTTGCTTAGATTCTGCTACAACTTCTTATAGTAAAGGAAAATGTGATGCAGCTTCATCAGGAGCCCTCCTAGGTTTAGCTTTCATCATAAACCTTTTTATCTGAAGTTTGAATATTCATTAACAAATAAATAATTACAATATTAAATTGTCTTAATAATTTCTCTACATTAATAGATATTACATTCCTTATTCGTAGAGTTTATTCTAATTCTTATTGTTGAATAGAATTAGTTATAATTATTTAATAATTTTAACGAGCAAATTTTTATTATATTAAATTTAATGTAATAGACTGTCTCACTTTTTGCTGGAATGACTAAAGTCTTTAAATCTGCTAATAATAATAAATAGTATTAAGAGACCTGTAAATGTCAAAAAGAGAATTTCAAAGTGGAATCATAAAATAAGGAACACTTATAAGAATTTTCAAAGAAACATAGTACTAATGAAAATTAAAAGGAAAATATCATGATTCAGAGCCAACCTAACAGAAAATGAAATAAGGATTCAATTATTTACTATTATGACATTATAAATAGTTATAATATTTTAACGGAATCACTTCTAGTTATTTTTGTTGAATAAACTAATGTTTCTATTATATATTTTATTATTTTTAGTCTTAAAGTCTGTTATATATATGATAATCTTTTGGTTAAATAGATATTATATAGAAATAAATTATAGAATTTTTTAATATTTTTCTTATGATTATATTTATAATATAATTATTACAAATGCTTTTTGTATCTATTTAATTTATTTTTTCAATCACTATTTATATATAGTATATGATAATATCTAATAGAAACCCTTTATTTTAAATAAGAATACCTAATTACAAATATAAAATTTATTAACAATTAATTGTACAATGTATCATAAATAAAATCTTTCAATGATTTATTATAATAATATGAAATAATTCACTTAGATAACTTCTAAATATCATAATTTATTCATTAATTGACAGGTCTTGTTGACAAAAATATTTAATTATAAAAATGCAAAATTTTGTTTAAATGATGATTACCTATGTTAATTAATCAAATATATAAATTTTTTTACAAAAGAATTTTATGTCATCTAAAAAAGAATACGGAATAGAGGAGCATATATATGAAACTCTGCTTGATTTATATAAATTAGAGTGCAGTGAAGCCTTTAGATTTCCAGTTGATATACACCTATTTAAATGCCCTGATTATTATTAAATTATAACAGATCCAATGGATTTGAGTACATTGACTACTAAATATAAGGATGGTGCATACAAAACATTCAATGAAATAAAAGAATAAATTGATAAAATCATAAAAAACTGTAGAAAATTCAATACCGATCCTAATCATACAATATTAAAAACTTGCTCTAAATTTGAATAATGTTTTAATACTAGATGGAATAAATTAAATGAAATAAGAATTCAATTAGAAATACCAGATGATTATTAATTAAAAGTTGAGATGAATAAATTAGATTCTATTGAATAAAGAAAAAATAAAAAAAAAGAACCTGCATCATTAAAAGAAGATTAGGTAGGTAGAAAACCAAGATTACCAAAAAATGAAATTAAAACTTATAATAATAACTAATTCACATTCACTAAACCATAGAATGAATTTGTAGTCAATAAATTTAAAATAAAATCATCATCAATCCAAGATGATGATCAACCATACATAGATTCAAATACAAGTATAAAAAATGAATCATAAAACTTCCAAGACAATCAATTTGAAAGTAAAATTTAGAAAAAAGAAGTCATCGAATCCCTTCCCCCTACTTCTTTTAAAGTTTCAATATCTAGAATGACATCGAATGATTTAGGATAAAACCAAGAAAAAATAAAGGAGACACCTCCAATCTAATTGAATAATTTTGAACCTCTCTAAAGATAAGATTCAACTAAATCTACACTCTCTTTCAAGATTCCAATCCCTAAATTGAATCAACCATAATAAGATACAATAAAGGATCCTCTTGATTTCCAAATACCAAATATTGCAAAATCTAATTAAACACAATAATAATAGCAACCAATTCCTAAACAAATTCAATTACCTATATAATAGACAAATTAATCTATATCAACAGAGTCTTAAAATTAAGTACAATTATAATAATAATAATAAAAAATATAAATTCCAACTCAATAATTAACATCATAATAACCTTAATAATCTATAAATAATTAATAGTCTAATACTTAATTATTATAGTAGCCACAAGTTTAATAATAACCACAACTACTAGGAACATAATAAAAATAATAATAATAATAATAATTGTAATAATCATAATAATTATTATAATAATCATAATAATTATAATAGCCATAATTATCATAATAATCAAATTAAGTTTAAATATAAAAATAATAATTGTAACAATAAAACATTGATGATTAAAAAGCAATACCTAAGAAAGTAGAAATTAAAAAAGAATAGAATGAATTTGCATAGTAAAATTCTGTTGCATCATTAGATTAGTAGCACCCAGAAATATTACCTAAGATAAGCATTAATTTTAATAATCCAAGTAAAAACACTTTACTAGAATCAAAAACACAGTCTTATGAAACAAAAATAACTATACCAAAATAATAACCTTAATAATTAATTAATACTTCAAGTTCGTAGCTTCCTTCCTAAAAATAATTTGAAAAATCAATTCCTATTATCAAAGGAACAACATAAAAACTAGAGATGCAAAATACTCCAAATACTCCTAAAGGAAAGAGAAAAATTATTGATTCTGATGATTCATAAGACTCTAGTAAAATAGAATAAATTCCTATAATTAAAAAGCCCAGCGAGAAAAAAATTGAATATAATGAAACGCCAATTTAACATAGTATCTCAGGGCCCTCATCAGAAAAAAAGATACCAAATATAGGATCCCATACCTTCTCTTTAAATGAATAAGATAACAAAGTATAACCAAAGGAGAACTAATCATTTAAACTTGCCCCAACAACTCCACCAGCTATTTAACCTCCTTAAAAAATTGAAGCTCCTCCATCAAAATATGTATTTAAAATTGATGTTAATGCTATTCAAAAATTAGAAAATGATCATAATTAAAAAAAAATAGAAAAGTAAATACAATATATAATATGTGTTTAGAAACAAAAAATATGCTTTAAAATTAATGTCTATATTGAAAAAACATATCATCGCAAGATAACCAAACATTGAAATACTGAATAGATGTTTAGAAGTACCTTCAAAAACTACTCTAAATATGATTCTAATGTGGTTAAAACAAGAATTTGACAAGATTCCTTTTTAAGAGTATATTACAATAGCTAAGTTTGTTGAATTAGCTTATCAAAGCATTCAAAAGTTTAAATGTGAAGAGGAACCTCAAAATGAATAGTTGCTATAGCAATATTTTAATAAAGAAAAGGAATAAGAATAGAATCGTCTAAAAAAAATTGAATAGGAGACTAAAGTATAACAAGAACCAATAATTTTAGAGAAAATTGATATAGAAATGTTATCTAAATCATTAAGAATTAGATCAAAAAGTAAATTTTATTATTATAATATCAAATAGAAAAAAAGGTTAACGATAAAGAGAAGAAAGATAGAGATACTGATAAATAAAAAGATAGTGATAAATAACAATAAAAACCTGTCTTACATTAATAATAAGAAATTTAAAGTTTTGCTTTAGAAAATCCAAAGAAAATAAAATTAGATCAATAATAATAATAAATCTAAGATATTGATGATGATTTTGAAGAGTAGACACAAGCTTAGGATTGGTGGAAAATTTTAGAAAAGAAAAAAAATGAATGTAAAGCCATAGAAGAGGAAAAAAAAGAAAAAGAAGATTAAGAATAAGAGGAAAAATTTTTTGTGAGAACATTAGATCAAGTCAAAGTAAATTATACTCTTAATTTGGGAGAAAAGAAAGGAATAGGTTTGTATCCTACAATTGTTGTAGAGAAAATGTTCTTCTTTCTTTTAAATCATTAATCAACCTATTTTAAATAAAATAAAAGTTTACTAACCAACTTCTTTAGAAAATTAAAGGAAAATTAAACAGAAAAAAAAAATGATTTTTATTAGTAATTTAGTAAGTACAATTACTATGTTGATGAAAATCACACTCAATTAATGGATTTATATAAAATTGATAATTATGCTGAAATCTTAATCAAATTAACTTTAAAAGATGATGGAGATTTTGATCCCTATTAATTAGAAAATAAGTTAATTATTAATTTAGGGATTAACAATCTTTTAAGCTATACAACTAAACATAATTTTATAAACTACTCCTCGATTAACAAATAATTTTAATTAAAATTAGCTTAATATCCATAATCAATAAGCGAAACTATATTGCTCTCAAAATTATACGAGATGAATGAAATATTTGTGGAAAGCTTAGAAACTACAAAAATGAATGAGTAAATACATTTATATTATTTAGTAATGGAGGATGTGGGGTGTTCTTATGGAACTAAAAAAAATAAGCATTAAATTAAGAATATCAATATTCATGTCATTTATAGATATAAGTCCCATTTACATGTATCTAAGATTTATGCTTAAGCTTAAATGATACAGTTATCCTAAATGGACAATAATTATGATATATTAAGCTATTATGTATTTGATAAATTGAGTTTATATAAATTATATCAGTTTTTAAACTAAGTAAGAAAATATTATGTATGTCTAAAATTCTATTATATAATTATCAGATACTTCTAGGCAATCTCATCTGAATTGTCTAATTTCTTTAAATTTTAAATAAGTTCTTCAATTTATTTCAGTCTTTTTTTGAAACTATTTATTTGAATTTCTTCTATTTTTATAATTGTATCGATAGATGTAATAAAGAAATGTATGAATATATTGAAAACGATGTAAAGATGAATGAGTGATAAAACGAATTAATTTGATTTTAATATAATATTTTAATTCATGAAATTTACAAGATTGATTGGCAGAATCTTTTTAGCACTTCTATTCGTCAATGCTGGCTTATCTCAGTTAAATAATACCGATCCATTTGTTTAATTTGTAAATGTTAGATATCCATTCTTCTATGATTATGTCCAAAAATTGACAGGCCATTCATTAGATTGTACAGAAATTTTAGTATCATATACTTGAATTTTAGAAACCAACAAACTTCATTAAACATACTCCATGTTTAATTCAAACAATAGGAGCTGCTTAACTAATTTTAGGATTAGGGGTTGGTATTGGTATGCAAGGAGCAGGATGCTTATTGGCTTTATTAAGTATTATCATTACAGTATTTGCACATAATCCTATCATATATTTAAACAATGTGTAATTCTCCATAATTTATTATAGGAATGCTTAAGCTGAATATCTTAACATAATTTTTAATTTTGGAATTATAGGTGCATTATTTTTGGTTGGAAAAAGAAGAAAGAATAAAGGAAGTTGTGGTGTTGGAAGTTGTTTAACTAAACCAAAGGAGGATAAAAAGGATGAGAAAAAGGAAGATAAAAAGGATGAGAAAAAGAAAGATAAAAAGGATGAGAAAAAGAAAGATTAAAAGGATGAGAAAAAGAAAGATTAAAAGGATGAGAAAAAGAAAGATAAAAAGGATGAGAAAAAGAAAGATAAAACGGATGAGAAAAAGAAAGATATAAAGGATGAGAAAAAGAAAAATATAAAGGATGAGAAAAAGGATGAGAAAAAGGAGGATAAAAAAGAGGATAAAATAAAAGAGGCTAATACACTTCCCGAAGAAAAAAAATGAGTATTTTAAATATGCAATTTAATATTATAAATGGATTGACGAAAAGTATTTATTGAATTCATATACCATAAATTAAATAAAGATATAAAAATTTGAAAAATGGTAACAAAACAAGTCTAAATATATAATAGGGAGTAGATGCTTACAAAAAGACTAGAGTGTAAAGGAAAGTAGGAAGAAAAGTGACTTCTACAAACCTTTATTTGAAATTATTAATAAAGGTAAAGTATTAGAT